TGGGGTGTTGGTAGCAGTCCTGCGGCGATGCAGAAGGCTTGTTGGGTGATCTGGGCGCGCACAACACCGACAAGGGGAGAAAGCTGAGGTCATTGAGGAAAACATGGTTGCCCGTCTGGACCCCAAACACCGAGAATCCATGCAGCTTTGCACACACAAACACAAAAACATGTGTTGTGGCGTCGGGATTGCGAGCGTGAGGTAAATTTCAAGGGATTGCGGCGTCGAGTGCGCGAGTACGCAGTCGTTGTCACGGTATTGTAGCTTCGGGAGTGCGCGTGTGTCGTAATTTACGTGTTTTAGGGCCCCACGAAGTTCTGAGGATATGATTCGAATGTTGTAGCGCATCCTTTTCTGGTTCTGGTCTAGGGGGATCTAACGTTCTTCAATTCCTGAATTTTGGACAGAGGAGTCGTTTGCTACACCATCTGACACTTAGGCACTGGAATTGGTGCAGGGTGCAGGAGTCTCCGAGAAGCTCTACACCATTCGCCGATTGGGGAACATATTCTTGAGGATGTGGGAGGTACGGAGGAGAAGGAGCAGGAGCAGGAGGATCCCACCACAATGCTCAGGGCCCGGAGCGCAGTCCAGGGGGAGCCTGGCACCCTCACGTCTTGGTTTTTGGGCTTACGCCGCACCGCCGACCCCTTGGGGGTCTCCTGGTAGGCCTCTCGGGGGTCTCCTGGCAGCACTTTTGATGCCTTTTGGGGGCCGTTTTGGGGCCTCTTGGGGCCTCTGTTGGGCCTCTGGTGGGCCTCTTGGAGCCTCTTAGGGGCTTCTTGGGAGCCTCTTGGAGGCCTCTTGGAGGCTTCTTGGGGCCGAGGGCTCAAAATTTTCGTTCGGGTCCCCCGCCTGGGCCCCTCCTGGAGCCGTCTTGGAGGCCTCTTGGGCCGTCTTGGGGCCCTTTTGGGCCGTCTTGGAGCCTTCTTGGGGACTTCCTGGGCCGTTTTGGGGCAATCTTGGAGGCCTCTTGGGCCGTCTTGAGCGCTGTGAAAGCCCAAGAGGCGAATGTGCTAAAGTCATAGGTTCCCCTCAGGGAGCGGGACGATTTTTGCTTTTGGGGGCCCTCTTGGGGGGCCTCTTGGGGCGTCTCGGGGCCGTCTGGGGGCCATCTTGGGCGTCTTGGAACGATCCATCGGCGATTCGGGGACCTCTTGGACCATCCCGTCGCGAGGCCCGTGACGCGTTCAGCCGGGGCTGGCCGGACCCCCCCCTCCGAGATTCGGTCTCTTTACAACCCGAACGACATTGTACAACCGAGATATGTCATTCTACAACCAGCAGAGGATCGAATTCCTTCGCATTCCTCTGAGAACGACCACTTTACAACCAGGACAGCCCACTTTACAACCAGAACAACCACTTCACAATCCAGACGGCGCTTTTTGCAACCAGAACGGCTACTTTACAACCACCCTTCAAAAGCGCGCGCGCGCGCGCTCTGCAGGCGCTTCTGAAGCGTCTGAGCGCTTTCCAGAGGTTTCTGAGCGCCTGAGCGCTTTGCAGAGGCTTCTGAGCGCCCTAAGCGTTTTGCAGAGGCTTCTGAGCGCCCAGGCGCTCGAAAGCCTTTCTGCGAGGCAAAAGGAAATACGAATTGAAATCCGCATGCTTGGCTAGAATTTAAACAGAGATTTCTCGGTCTGAAAGATCTCGAACCCCCCTGGATGGAAGGGGGGGGGAGGGGTTCGACCCCCCTCCCTCCCTCCTCTACTTCTCCTTTCTCCCTCTCCTCGGGCCGGCGCCTGCGTCGGCGGCGGCTGGCGGCGGCGCCGGGGACGACGAATTCCTTTTCTGGGCCGGCGCCCGCGCCTGCGGCGGCGGGCGTCGGCGGCGGGGAGCGTCGAAGAGGACGACGGCAGTGGTGGCGGTGGTGGTGGTTTGTGGTGGTGGTGGTGGCGGTGGTGGTGGTTGTGGTGGTGGTGGTGTGGTGGTTTGTTGTGGTGGTGCTGGTGGTTGTGGTGGTGGGTGGTGATGGTCGTGGTGGTGGTGGTGGTGGTTTGGTGGTGGTGTGGTGGTGGTTTGGTGGTGGTGTGGTGGTGCGTTGTGGTGGTGGTGGTGGTGGTGGTGGTTTGGTAGTGGTGAGGTGGTGGTTTGTGGTGGTGGTGGTGGTGGTGGTGGTGGTTGGTAGTGGTGGTGGCGGTGGTTTGTGGAGGTGGTGCTGGTGGTGCTGGTGGCGGTGGTGCTTTGGTGGTGGTGTGGTGGTTTGTTGTGGTGGTGGTGGGTTGTGTTGCTGGTAGTGGTGGTGGTTGTGGCGGTGGCGGTGGTGGTGTGGTAGATTGTTGTGGTGGTGGTGGTAGTGGTGGTGGGTTTTTGTGGTGGTGGTAGCGGTGATGGTGAGTTGTGCTGGTGGTGGTAGTGGTGGTGGGTTTTTGCTGTAGTGGTGGTGGCTGTGTGGTGGTAGTGGTGGTGGTGGTAGGTTGAGGCGGTGGTGGTGGTGGTAGTGGTGATGGTGGTGGTAGTGGTGGTAATCGTCGCTGCATCCCCGCCGGCGCCGGCGCCACGGGGGGGGTGTTTTGAACCCCCCCATTGGGCTGCTTCTGGTCATCGTCGCTGCGTCCCCGCCGTCGGCGTTCCTGGCGGCCGCCAGCGCCCGCGCCGGCGCGGGCGCGGGGGGGGGGGTTTGGGAGGGGAGGGGTTTGGGGGGGAAGGGAGTCAGTCCCCTTGGTTTTTGATCGACGTCGCCGAGTGTGGGGGGGGAGCACCCCCCTGTTCGAAACGCGCCGCCGAATGTTCCCAAGGCAAGTGCCCGCGAAACGAGCTGTCTCCTCTCCTCGGTCTCTTTCCGCCCTCCTGGGTACGCATGCTTCCGAAATTGCGCAAACATGTTTATTTTTGGGATTGCCAGACGATGTGGCGCGAGGACAATCATGGCCTATGATGCCAAAAACAACTATCTGAAATTCACATGCGTTGGCTGGAGTTCTACAGGCGACTTATTGGCCACATTTCTGCCCTCCTGGGTGCGCATGCTTCCTCGAATTCGAAATCATGGGGTTCTGTTATGGCCAGGCGATTAAGCGCGAGGACGAAAGCTGTTTGCGAGACCGAAAACTACACATTGGCATCCACACGTGGTGGCTCGAACGTTACCATCGGTTTCTTGGGAACATTTCTGCCCTCCGGGGCCCGCATGCTCGCAATTGCGAAAACAGAAGGTTTTCGTGATTGTCCGTCCTCCTGGGTATGCATGCGACCGCGAATGCGAAACCATACGGTTTGGCTTTTACCAGACGACGAGGCGCGAGGACGACGGTTGTGTATGCGGCCAAACACACAGATTGAAATTCACATGTACCGGCTAGATCATTACCAATAATTAGTTGGCCACGTGTCAGCCCTCCTGGATACGCATGCTTCCGCATTTCTGAAAGCATACTGGTTTTTGTTATTGCCAGACGATGAGGCGCAATGACAAACACGTTTTCCCACACAAAAAAAACATTGGACATTCACATGCGTTGGCTAGAAAATGACCAATTATTTCTTGGCCACATTTACGCATTCCTGGGCGCGCATGCTTCCGCACACGCCAAATCTTACGGCTACGTCGTTGCCAGACGATCAGGCGCGAGGGCAAAACATGTGTACGATGCAAATAAAGATGGAATCTGCAAGCGTTGGCTAGAAATTGACCAACGACTTCTTGTCCACATGTCCGCCCTCCTGGGAGCGCGCGTGCTCCTCGGCGTACTAGTTCGGCGAACGAACGATTGCTGTGTTGTATTTCCGGAGGAATCCGGATTTTCAGGCAGAGGTCATCAGGCTCCAGGAGAAAAAAAGATTAAGATTTAGGGCAGGGGCGTCAAACAAATTTAAACCGCCCAAGCCTACCACCAGCCTGTAGCGGGATCATCTATATTGGATTTCAATTGGGTTACACTAGCGCCATTTGGATTTTACAAAAATAGCAAGCGAATTCCAATCGGGGCACAATAGGAGTCAAAGAGAACAGGTTTCTGTTGATTTACATATGGGTCCTGGTGGGATCCCCGTAGTTTGCCCGTATGGATCGGAAAGGAAAGATTCCGATTTGATTACAATGCGATATTCATTGTATTTGTTAATGTGGTTCTGATGGGGTTCCAAAAAAGACAGTTCCTTTTGTTTTTGGATACGAACCAGAAAAATACCCATTGGGTTTCCATATAGTACCCCAGTGCGTTTCTCGCAGCATTCCAATAGGAAGGTCCTTCGATTGTAATCCAATAGGGTTCCCAATCGTTTTCCATCAGGAAGGGGCCCCAACGAGCTTCAATAGGAAGCACCCCGTATCGGATTCGAATTGGACACCCGTAGGCCCCATATCGAGGAATTTTGTTTGATACCAATGGAATTCATACGGTGCCACTAGGATCCCAGTGGGAAGGGTGCCACAAGGATTACGATAGGATTCTTGTTGGATATCACTAGGAATCCGCGACTTCACAAATGCTCGCTTCAGACAGGTCACTTTACAACCAACGCGCTTCAGAGAGCGAAGTGTCTCCCTTACGTGAACCCACGGAGATGCCGAAATTAAAGAACATGTGTCGCTTATGTGCGACTATTCGCCTGGTTGTAAAGTGGCCTTCCTTGTTGCAAAGCACTCTCCTTGGAAAACCCATGCTTGTTATGAAGTACCCCATCTGGTTGTAAAGTGGACGTTCAGGTTGTAATGTGACCCACGCGCCCCCCCCCCCTCCAAACCGACTGGACTGGGCCCCGTGGGGAGGGGTTTGGGAAGGGGAAGCATCTCACACGCCGATGACCCCAAGGGGTCGGCGGATTTATAATTATATTGTCGCGTTCCCATTCACACCAATTTTGAACGTGATGCCACGTAATCCGCCGCCGGTGCCGCGCGCCACTGCAGCCTGGAGATTCTGATTCGCAAATGCACGCGTGAGCGGGGCTTTGGGCAAGGGCTTTGCGTTCAAGACAAAGGAACCAGGAGAACTTGCAAGAGAGGCAGAGGGTTGATCTGACGCCGAATGGAAATGTTGTTCCTCGCATTGGGCATGAGCAACTGGGCAGGTGTCTGAATTTACAAGCCGGCGCAGCGCTTAGTCTTGAGGGGCAGCAGTTGGTCCTCGGGGTTTATCGCCACCCAGGCGCAGGTCGTCTCATCGTCTCAGAGTGCCGCGAGGGAGAGCCACAGAAGCAGGGTCCATGCTCTGAGTTGGTTTGGAGTTTGGGTCGGTTCTCACGCCAGCTAGGCCCCCACGGTCAATATATGACGCCTCGCGCATCTCTACCAGCCTGTCAAAGAAAACTACCATGCTAGTTGCCCCGATCAGGGATGCGGGATGTGTAGCAGCATGCAGCCTCTCTCTGGGAGCCTCCCGGAGGCATGTTGTAACCATCGTGGGCCATCATGTGGCACTCTGGGTGCTGTTTTAGGAGCCTCGAAGGGCCATTTGGGGGGCCATCGACCATGAATGTCTGGCAACTTTCGGAGGTCTCCTGGTGTTTCCTGGGATTTCCGGAAATCTTCAGAGGGAGGGCTGCAGGGGGCTTGGGGTGGGGGGCTAGGGTGTAGGGGAAGAAGTAAAGCGGTACCCGAAGGGGAAACAATTGGTTAGAATTACTAACGCTTTAAACCACAATCGACCATAGGGCTGGTGACATTCGTCTGCACCTTTTCGATTACCCATTTGTCGCCGATCGCTCTCGCTTCGAGAGTCGTGCCTCAGGACCTCGAGCGGTGGGTCGCAATGGAAAGCGCACATATTCGGTTTTTACCGCTCCGAAGCGACATGCTTGCGAGATGGGTGGCAGCACCACCGCGTTTCTGGCCCACTGTGCTTGCGTTCGATCCTGACCAGTGCGGTTTCTGCCGTTTGTGGCCATACGGTTGCGAAGCCTGAGTGGGCACGGCTAGATCAGCGCACGTTGCACATCGGGCCCTTCGAGCAAAGGATGGGTTAGCAGCATCTGGCACATGCCCTTCTCGGATATTCTTGTGTGTGTGTGTGCGCGGATGGTTATACCAAGCTCTCCTGAACAGTTTCGGAATTATCATGGCTCTGCGAGGCACCGTCTGGGGGTAAGGAGAGGGAGTCAGGGGGGAAGCACACGCCGTGGAGGAACCAAAACCAACTGGAGAAAACAGTCCCAGAAATCTTAATCGGCACGAGGGGGGGTCCCTCCCGCGTGAGGCCACCTCGGATCGCACACCTGTACTGCCCGGCTCGGGGCGCTTGTCCTTGCAGGGGGTGGCGGCCTGGCTTGGCGGGGGGGTCATGCGGCCTCTCGCGGACCCAGAAATCCGAGGTTGCAAACAAACCAGGGGCCCTCGCAGGGATCCGAGACCGTCAGAAGAAGGTTTAGGACGAAGAAAGGGCCCTAAGAAAGTTGCCCAGACCTCAGGAGACTCGGGCGCCTGGGAACTTTCAAGAGGAGGAGGGGGGGAGCATCGACTCCCGACCGCCCATGCTTCGCCGGTCGGGGCAGGAGGCCACCCCATCACCGCCGAGGAGCGTGCGGTTTTCCGCCGTCGGGGGCCTGTCGCCGATTCATCGTCGGTGTGTCGCCGACTCCAGGTCACCCCCACGAGCTGGTCCCCACCTGTCGACCCCCCTCACGGGATGGCCAAAGGGGGGGGGAGGGCGGGGCACCAAGGGGACCGTTGTTGTGCTGTCTGGCGCTGGCTTGCACTCAGCACGCTGAAGCAGGGAGCACTTCGGGTTCCGAAGGAGGTCGCTGTTCCTGGTGTCCTTCCATGGTTGTTCCTCCAAGCGTTCCTCGGGCACCAAGGCACTTCTGGAGCCGCAGAGCAGCTTCCTTACCTATGAAAGAGCGTGTTCTACCGCTGCTGGCGGAAAACCAGGGGGGGTCACTACCGGTTCGAACCCCTCCCCCCCCCCGCCCCCCCCCTCCGGAAAACCCGGGGGGGTCACTACCGGTTCGAACCCCTCCCCCCCCCCCCGTTCATCATGAAAAGGGGGGGGTCACTACCGGTTTGAACCCCCCCCCCTCCCCCTCGAAAACCGGGGGGGGTCACTACCGGTTCGAACCCCCCCCCCTCTCGAAAACCGAGGGGGGGGGTGCGGACAGTGGTGGGGACGGTGGTGATGGGGACAGTGGTGAGGGGACAGCGGGACAGTGGTGGGGACAGTGGGACAGTGGTGGGGACGGTAGTGGTGGGGACAGTGGTGAGGACAATGGTGGGAACAGTGGGGACAGTGGACAGTGGTGGGGACGGTGGTGGTGGGGACAGTGGTGTGGGGACAGTGGGAATGAGGTGGAAACAGTGGGACAGTGGAGGGTACAGTGGTGGTGGGGACAGTGGTGAAGGCGGTGGCGAGGACGGCGGTGGGACAATGGGACAGAGGTACAGTGGGGACAGTGGTGCGGACAGTGGGGACAGTGGTGGGAACAGTGGGACAGCTTAGTGGGACAGCGGAGGAGTCAGTGGGACAGTGGGGACAGTGGGGATAGTCGGGCAGTGGTTGGGGCCGTGGAGAAAGTGGGGAGAGTGGAACCCTGGTGGGAACAGTGGTGGGGACAGTGGGGACAGTGCGACAGTGGTGGGGGGCACTGGTGGGGAGAGTAGGGACGGTGGTGGAGCCAGTGGGGACAGTGGTGGTGAGGACAGTGGTGCTGGGAACAACAGTGGGGGATGTGGTGCGGACGGTGGTAGGGACCGGGAGTCGTTTGCTGGCGGTGAGTGGGGGAGGGGTTCGAACCGGTAGTGACCCCCCTCCGGTTTTCGAGGGGGGGGGGTTCGAACCGGTAGTGACCCCCCCCGGGGGGAGGGGGGGGGTTGCCGGGGAGGAGGGGGGGGGGAGGGTTCCAGCAGGGGGGGGGGGGGGATTTTCGGAGGGGGGGGGAGGGGGACCCCCGGGTTCGGAGGAAAAGTGCGGCAATTTTCCAGAGTAAAGCGGCGGTGGATCACGCTCTCTCTTACCTATTGATTGTTCTTTCTGGTAGCAGCTTCATTGTACAACGCTGGCTCCGAAGACGGGCGCCGTTTTGACCGTAAGGGAAGCTGGTGCAGTGCCGGCTCTTGCATGTCTCAGTATCGTTGAAACGACCCCCATCCCCATCCTCAGTTCCTTCGAGACCCCCACCAAATTACCACCCCAGTTGGGGATACACCCTTCGAAACCCGAAGGGGACGGCCTATATCCCCATCTAGGGGGGTAAGTCGGCCAGTGGCGCCCAGGCCACGCCGCTGGGGATGGGATCGGTTAAACGATGCTCATACGGTTATAGCTTCCGTGGAGCATTCGTATAATTCAAGTCAAAACGTTTAGAAGTTCGCCCATATCGTTTCCCCTTCTCGTTGCTTGCGTGAAGTTTGGCAGGGTCATCTGCCTCCAGGGTGTCAAGAGACAGTTTTTGCTGTCCCCTCGTGATGACAGGCGTAATCGAGTGGGGGGGCGGGAGGAGGGGGCTGGTCACGGCGCGATTTGCGCTCCCAGACGGCGCCAGTAACAAACGTGACGTGACCAGCGGGGTGGGGAGGGCTCGGTCACGGGTGTTGCCCCGAAAAAAAATGGTTCGATGTTCGTCTAGAAGTTCTGATAACTGTGCTCGGAGGCGTCGGGCAGGGGTTCGGAAGTCCACGTGCCAGGGCCGGCCCCTGAGGGCACGGCAGGTTCGCGTCGTGCGGGCGCGACGGCGACCCACCACGCGGGCGCGTAAGGTTGAACGCCGCCAGTGGCCGGATTGGTAAGCGGTTGTGAAGCGTCCTGTTTTGCGTTTAATTAGGCCCACCAGAAGATGTTCTAAGAACCTCGTGTGGTTCGCAGTGAACATTATCTGGACATTTCTGGTGGACATGGCATTGTTGGAATCCATATGGTTTGAAAGGTCTGAGAGCATGATTTTTTGTTCAAAGAACATGATCTCGTTCAAAGAACATGTCGCGTTATGCCTGTATAGGAATGCCGGGTCGGTCGATCCTTGATTCAGATTTGGCCGACATCGAAGGATTCGGTTGCCCTGAAGGTTCTCGAAAGATGCACGTTTCTTCACGCCCCACATTGACTGCACCCCATTAGGCAACGCCCGAATGATCTGTGTTATCGGGTCGTCCCGATCTTTCCATGCTGGTCGATCCCGCGTGGTGCAGGAAGCCAGCGCCAGCGTGGTCAGGGCTCCAATTTTGCCGCAGGGGCGAGGAGGAGTGCGAGGGCGAGTCGGGAGCTAGATCGCCCGCGGGGTTTACACATTATCGCGCTTCGCGCGTCACGGTCTAGGCCAGAGCGATTTCCTTTCTCCAATGGGTCGGCGCGAGGATGCGAAGATAATTGCGCGTCGTACATCGCGGGCCGCGATACGCGAAGTTCGGTGACTTGAAGAAGAAGGGCGGTGGCGGCGAGGGTCGCGACACGGTGGATGTATTTATTTACGCCCGCAGTGAAGGGCAAACGCTTCTTGCTGGAATGGACATTGGGCGCGCCTTTTGCAGCAGTGACAAGCCGTGGCCTTCCGAGGCTGACCCTCAAGAAGACGATGGAACAGTTCGGAGAAGTCCTGGGCTGCCACATCGGCAATCGCGGTGTAGATTTTCCGGTTCGCCGCCCTTCTATCTCCGGCTGGTGTCGATTGCCTTCATCCCAGACATTGGCGTGGACCTTCGAACGTGTATTTTTATTACAGTTTTGCCTTCTTCCAGACTCAAGGGACGCACGTGTGTGGAACTTTGCAGCTGGTCTCTTCCGTGCACGCATTCAGGCACTATTACGGCATTGCTTATCTCCGCTTGGTTTTCTGAGGGACTTGGGGCGGAAGGGGGGTATACAGGGATCGGGACGAAGTTCCTTTTTTCTTCACCGGCTGGAGTCTACCCTGTCAAATCTGATGCAACCAGGCGTGCACTCCGTCTTTGGCGCATTCCTATCGCAATTCCGCGATGGGAACAATGACAGGGGCGGTGTTTGCGGGGGGGCCCGCGTAACTTGTGTTAAGGCTTAAACCGAGGCGAATTGGGTGCAGGTATGCGTTCTACCCCTCGTGCGTTTCGTGAGTGAGGAGGGGGGAGAATAGAGGAGGAGGCAGAGGATGCAGCATGAGGGACAGGTGGGAGAGGAGAAGACCAGTCTGACAGGCCTTCGAGGAAAAACAAACGGGATGCACATAAACTTCCGACGGTCCGATTTGTTTTTTGCCCCCCCAGGCGGCGCCTCGGGCCCGCGCGCCTCTGTGCAGCCCGTTCCACCGCATTTCTTGCAGGGTCATCGCTGTGGCCCGTGACTGCAGATGGGCACTGCTGGTGTTATTGGCGGTGCCAGCCCGCGCAGTGGACGTGCGATCTCGTTGCGTGATAGTAGGGATGAGCGGCTTTCCAACGCTAGCCTTCATCCTTCCTCTTCTGCCCATCCTTGTCCGCTTTCTCTGGCCAGTTCTGTTCGACAAGCGTCGACATGGTCATCCAAGGCCCTTGCATCCTCATCGTGCATCCTTACTAGGCGCGTTGACTGTATCGGACCCCGAACCAATCCTCTCGGTCAGTTTGGGAGGTCGCCGCGGCGATCGCGGCGGCCTCGTGTCGGGGCATGGTCTTTGTCAAGGAGTGGGATGCCGTTTCCCAGCCCCCCCCCGCAGTTCTGCAATGAGGGCCTTGTCAGATGATATCCAACATGGGCAGTCATGTTCGTTTTGGTTATGGGCGGCGTATCACGCAACCATGGCCACCTAAAATTTCAGTGCTCCAGAGCATCCTGCCCCTCCTCCCTTTCTTCCTTCTTCACACATCCCTGTCCTCCAGTGCGAGAGATCTAGCTGGTCGTGCGGGGGGTGTTCGATTGCGCAGCGCCTCGTTCGATATCCTCGCCCTGGTCGCGTAGATCTCGCCACCCCAGCGCCTGCAGGTCGATCTCTGGAAGTCCACGGTCACTAGGCTTGCCCGCTGGTTGCACAAGACCATCCAGGGCGCCCCTTCGAGGTGCCTCATCGTGCTCGGCTCGGGCTCGAACTGCGAGCTCGGCGGGACAGCTGTTGGTGGAGGCGCGCGCGGTGCAGCACACCTCGGATGCTGACCACGTGGGCGACTACAGCGTGGGAGCTGGAAACTTCACGAATCAGGAGCTCTGGAGGATCATGTCAATGGACGGGCTCGCCGCCGTGGACTCTTTCCTCCCCACTGGACCTACCTATTTCGGGCAGGAGGCTGACCACGCATCTCATCTTGACCACTTCTGGGCTCCACGAGGGGCTGTGGTCTCCACGGTGTCGTGCTGCACGATGAGAGGCGCCATGAGAGAGTCGCAGAAAACCACTCACGCGCTGCCCGAGGACCACTGTCCGCTACTGTGGCGCGTACGCTACAAGCTACACTTCGACACCGCAGACGCTGAACAGGAACCGCGATGGGACCGCGATCGCGTGGCTGCGATGCTCCAAAATGGTGGGTCGCTAGGGATCATTGGCGAGATGGAAAGGCGCTGTGCTCTTCATGCGGCTGATTGGCGGCGTGCGGCACGACAGGACGACCCATCTGAGTTATGGCAAGCGCTGGTCTGGGATGCTCGAGAAGCTGCGCTCGATGAGTGCAGAGTTGCGGCCAGGACAGGTCCTGAGGAGTATCGTCGACGCCGTTCGAAGCTACTTCGAAAGAGACGTACACTAGACAGATACTGTTCCACGGAAGATAATCCAGTTGTTTGCGCCGACGCGATCGCGAGATACGCCGGGAAAGATTTCGACTGGACCGTGAGAATGTGGACCGCACGCTTCGTGAGTTTCAGTGGGCGGCCGAGTTGGGACATTCGAGCACAAGCGCGAAGTACCACGGCGCGCGCCGACGCAGATTCAACACCCTGTCGCAGTGCTTGCCGACGATAGAGGAATTGACCACCACCATGGAGGCGAACGCTCGCGAGGGAGGCTTCTCGACCGTGGTCGACCGTCATCCTGAGACCCCTGCCGAGTTCGCCCTTGAGCAACGCGAGCTCGAGGGCCCCGACGGAGACTGGAAGCAGCTGAGAGGCCATCCGGTGTCTAACTGCCTATGTGGATTGGACCCAGAGCCTGGATGCCCTGGAGAGATTGGCGCGACGGAGGTTCGCGCCGCCCCATTCGGCGCCGGGCGAGATTTGGCCTGCGATCCTGCGAACGGCGACCGTCGAAGCTCGAGGTGACGATGGACGGCGGCCTGCTGCTGATGTTGATCGCGAGCTTGCGTTCCCCGATATCGACTGAGTGAAAGATTGCAGGCCTTCTTTCACCAGGTCCGCGTGTCTCGTCGCGTCTCAGCCTGGTGGCGCTGCGAGGCGCGGAGGCCATGGGGCGGATCCACTGTTTCTGCTGGGGTGGGAAGGCCCGGCGTCGCGGAATGTTCGTTCGCCTTGCGTAGCCAGAGCTGCCCTACCGCGCCCATGGCCACGCGCGATATCGAGCAAGACAGGGGGCGCAATATGTTTCGAGAAGTCATTCTCGGGGGCTGCGCAAGTTAACAAGCTTTCGCACCCGCAGATGCAGAAGGAGATGAGCAACTACTTCCCTCCACGAGCCATCACGCCCTAGCAGAGGTGGTCGGTGCCATCATCCCCGAGTTGCAAGATCAGAAGTTCCCATTGCAGCGGCGCGCAGAGGGTGCGGTGGAGGTCCGCGCGGGCGGGGAGAAGGCATCTGTTCTGCCCCGCGTCGCGGAGCTGGCATGGCCGATGGGAATGCGCGCGAGTTGTTCGTCGGGCCATGCATCCGCCCACTTGAAGATTGGATTTGCACGCTCAGATTCGAGAACGCCGACGCCCTCGAGGTCGGGGAGGCAGAGGCCCCCTTGATAGAGGCTGCCGCGCTCATTTAGTGCCCCTGCGCCAAGCAGTTCGCGGGTTTATCCACGCGCGCGGGAAGAGCTGACCAGGCGCTGCGGGAGGCGACGAGCCCGCGGACGAGACATACACATCGACGGCGAGATCAAGATGAGCTGACCAGGCGCTACGGGGGGCGACGAGCCCACGGACGAGACATATGCATCGACGACGAGATCCAGATGAGTGCAATCGAGAGTCTGGAGCCGCAGGACGCGGAGATGCACCTTGCCCTGAACTGTGCCCGACTCCAGGACTACCCGTCTATGCGCGAGGAGGCCAGAAGCTTCTTGGAGACTCGACAAGCCCAAGGAGCCTTCGGTCGAGCTCGCGGGGGCCCGGTTGAAGTCGACGCATTCGCGAGGGGCTGTAGGGGGCGAGACGGCAAAGGCAAGGGCAACGACAACAAAGGCAACGGCAAAGGCAACGGCAAGACGAAGGACCCGACCTCGACGCCGTGGCATTGTGGAAAGAAAGGTCACCGAGCTGCAGACTGGAAGCGGAAAGACAAGGGGCAGAGCAGAGGCAAAGGCAATACTTGTGGCAGGGACGCGCATGCCAACGGATCGGCGTTCGCCGGGGCAAATTCTACAGCGTCGAATGCGATGCGCAGAGCACCGTCAGCACGCAGCCGCCTGCCTCAGCATCAGGCCGGCGGGTGCAACCAGTCGGCTGCCACTCTGAGCTTCGACGCCGTCGAGCGCGTCTTCGACCTGAACAGCGCAGAGGCGGAGGGCGCGAAGCACCACCGCAAGAAAGTCATTATGACCCACGATGCCAGAGCCACGACGACGCGACGACAGCCTTCCCGCTCGCGCAGAAGGGTGAGCATAGCGAGCCCGACGGCAGCTCCTACCGCGCTGCCACGGGCGAGATTGCTGAAGACGCGGGCGGCGTCGGCATCGACGGAGTGACGGAGCGCGGCGAGAGCGTGTCCCTGATGGGGCAGGCGCGCGAACACCTGGACGCCGCTCCTCTCTGCCTCGGGCATTGCCACCCAGGGCCGCTTTACCTGGATTGGCGCCTTGGGTAGCTACATCCTGAAAGACAGCGAGTCCACCAAGAAGATCCACCAGATGATCGACAAGTGCGTGGCTGAGGGGAACTAGGGCTCGCGCCGCTGTGCCTGCAGGACGGCGTCTACAAGATGGACGCGCTAATGGGCTTTCCGAATCTGGCTGCGTCATCGGGGTCAGCGGTGGTCGACCCCTGTCCCTGGGCGCCGGCGAGCGCGGGTCCTCGCTGGCAGGCAGCGGTTCCGCGGGAAGCGCGGGCGCCTCGCAGTTGCCGGGCCCGCCGCCGCCGGGGCCGACCGCGAGACCGACGGCAGCAGCTGGGGGGGGTCGAGATCCCGCTCCCCGAGAGGCTCGAGACGGTGAAGGGATCAAGGGCGACGAAGAATACGACGGCAGTCCTCAGGAAGTTTCGCCAGCATAGATTCAGGGACCCAAGGGATTACCGACCCAGGCCGAGGTGGATCAACGCGAAGTATCGGATCATGCTGCGTGTAGAGATGGGCTCGAAATTTGCCGCGCAGCCCGAGGATTCGGATTACCTCGCCAGCTACATGCTGAACCGCGCGAAGGCGCAGACCCGGCCGCGGCCATCGACACCGCATTCATGGGCGAGAAGACCGGCGAGGAGGACGAGGGCCAGGAGGGCATTTCCCCGATGCTAGTGGCCAGAGACACCAAGACGAAGCTGTCCTACTCGTCTGCGATTCTTGTTGTGAAAAGACCACTTTCTTCCTGATCAAGATCCTGGCGGGTTTCACCCTGCGCCTTTGCTACCGCGGGCCCATCTTCGCGAGCGCCGGGGCGCCCGCGATCGCGGCGCTCAAGCCGGCGGTTTCGGCGGCGGCGCCGTCGGCGGGGATCCCGCCGCGAGAATCACCAGCAGGAGAACGCAGAGCAATTGCTGCGCGGGAAGTCAAGAGAGGTCAGGGCGGCGGAGGCCCAGCTCGGCAAGAAGGTGGACGAAGCGCATCCCATCTTGAAGTGGCTGCCGCAGTGCGCTGCAGCCTGTCTCGGCCGGCGCCGACGTGGAGGAGGCGGTCTCACTGGAGAGCAAGGGCGCCCAGGCCGCGACTGGGAGAAGTTGGGGGTGGACGTCGGCGAGCGGGCGATGCACGGGCCGCTCGCGCCGAGAGGTCGCTGGAGCACCGATAGAGGAGCGCGCGAAGACTGGGAACTTCCTGGGCTACCATACGCGGACGGGGGCCCTGCCCGCCACGGCGGTTGACGGCGCGGAGATGGCCCCAGGTTTCGAGAAGTTGCCGAAGGAGCAGGTCTGGGGCGGCAAGGATTGGGGTGCTCTTCGAGGAGTTCCCTGGGCTGCCCGCCCAGGCGAGGCGGCGCCGCGACGTGGGGAAGTACGGAGCTACTTCAGGTCGCCCCGGGCTTCTGGTCTTGACGGAGAAGGGCAAGACTTCGAAGTCACACGGCGAGGAATGCCGCGACAGGGTCGCGGAGCTGATGATGAGTGACCCTCAGGACAGGGCGCGAGTTACCGAGCACCACTTTCGAAATGAGGAAATCTAGTACCTCGCCGATGTGCTCGAGATCTACCGGCGGCTGACTGAGACCAGGATGCGCCACCGCCGCCCGCTGGAGACGGGGGCCAGGCCCCCGCCCCCCCAGAGCCGAAGTGCGCCGCGATAGGAGCGGCGCCGGCTGGAGGCGGCGGGAGCAAACCGAGCGCTGGCAAGAAGCGCCGAGCGGTCACATCCGCTCTTGGACGAGCTACCGGGGTCGAGGATGCGCCAGGAAGGACAGCGCCTGAAAGTGCAGAGACCCGTCTCGCACTTATGCGAGGGGCACCCATCTCGGAGACGCAAATTCATGTGGAGGACCTGGTCGACGCACCCATGCCTCAGGTTTCGTCAGCGAGTTCGGCATCTGCAGCGGCGTCGGCTACGAGACCGAGCTCGACGCAAGACAGACCAACGAATTTAAATCTGCTAGAGAAGATCAACGGCTACGACACGGGCGGCATGTTCGCCATTATCTACGAGGTGGTGGTACTTGAGATTCGCTCGTACGCCAACGCCGACAACAACGATCAGCACGCGGAGCAGCCTGAGGACATCGCGTCGCAATTCACCCAGATGTGCGCTGTAGACATCACGGAGATCTACTCGCCAAGATGGTTCGCTGAGATGGCGCTAAGGTACGGTCTCACCTCCGGCCTGGTGGTGGTGACATCTAGACATGATGGGATCTACGACTGTCTGAGCAACGCAAGGCGCGCAAGAAGCAGCTGGGAGAGGAAGACCCATTGCGCGCGATCATTAGCCCGCCGTGCACGCCATTCACCAATCTGCGATTCTCGGACCAGAAGCGCGATCCGAAGATCGCGGGGGCAGAAACCTTAGAGGGCGAGACGCACCCCAGTTTTTGCATGGAGGTCTGCAAGGAGCACTACAAGGCTGGAGGGTTATTTCTTCACGAGGCACCTTGGTCAGCGAGCAGATGGTATAGCCCGAGCGTTCAGGAGGTTATGCAGTTGGCAAGTGTGTTCTTAGTCTGTGGACATATGTGCCGCTGCCGCATGCAGGTGGTCGGCCCCAACGGGTAGCCGGGCTCCGTTCGGAGGGGGACCGGATGGCCCACCAACTGCGAGCTGCTTGCGAAGATCCTCGTTTTTTGCGAGTGTTCTAGACGCCCGAACGGAGATCCACCCCGCCATGTTTAGTTGGTCGATGGACGCGCTAGACACGCACTACGGTATCCCCCCAGCTTGGCCGCAGCCATATTGAGAGAGGAGCTTCGACGACGCGAAGGGCATACCACCCTGGCAGCTCTTCGCGGCGGACCCCATCCGCGCGAGGTGTACAGAGGTGCTTGCTGAGTACCAGGACGACTACGTCATAGACAATCTCACGGGCGACGTTCTCAACTCCGAGGGCGCGCAAGCTGCGAGGCAGGAGGAACTGGGGCGGAAGGCAGATGCCTTAAGTGGATCGACGCGAACAGGGCAACCGGGCTCGACCACGATGTCGTTCGAGGGTGTTTGCGAGGGAGAACAAGAAGGTGATGATGTCAGAAGACCGACCAGATCAATCTGAGCTGTTCTCGGCAATGCCTCCGCTAGAAGCGTTCAAGGCAATGGTGACTATCTTCGCAGGATGCGTGAACAACGCCAACCACGATGGCGACGCCGAGGAGATCATTTACAAGTTTTACGACATTTTGAGGGCGCACTTCTACGGCGACGAGAATCGCGGGGTGTACGCGGAGCTACTCGAGGAGGAGGCCCACGACGACCCCAGGCCGATGGTGGCCAAGCTACTCAGGACGATGCACGGCACAGTAGATGCCAGCCACGCGCGGCAAGAGGAGCACATTGGCCTGACAAGCTCGCATGATTTCCAGAAAGGCATCTTGGACCCAGCACTACTCTAACATGCCGAGCGTCGCATGCAAGCGGAGGTCCACGGCGACGACTTCGGCGCAATAGTGAAGACGTCCCAGGGTTTTTGTTCGACGACGCGCTGTCGCGCCACGACTTCAAGGTCGCCGGCGCCCTGAGCAGCAAGCCGCTGAAGGAGCAGAGCGCGGTGCACCTCAACCGGGTGTTGGTCTGGAACCCGTTCGAGCGTTCGGCGTACTTCGAGGCAGACACCATGCACGTGAAGAAGGTGATCAGGGACCTGGGCCCTGGGGGCGCGAAGGAGTTTGCCGCGTCGGCTGTTAAGAGGTCGGGGGCGGATGCTCTGAACCACGACCGGACCTCGCCGAAGCTGGATGACGAGAAGACCGAGACCTTCCGCAACGTGACCATGCGGAGTTTGCAGCCGAGCATGGACAGACCCGACATCAGCTGCAACGCGGGCATGCAGGCCAGACATAAAAGGGAGCGGAAGGGAACCAACATGGAAGACCTGAAGCGCATCGGCCGCTACTTGCAGAAGTACCCCGACGGAAGGTTGCTGTTGCCCGCGCAGAGGGCGCCGACGAAGGTGCGCGTCTACTTCGACAGCGACTGCGCAGGTGGCCCGATTTACGAGACCTTCTCGAAGCGGAGTGGCAAGTACTAGCCGGCCGCTCTGCGGTTGATCGGGAGTTTCTGTATATAGAAGAAGGTGCGTGCGCTTGTTGGCGAGGGTGATGAGGTTCCTCCTCCTCCTCCTCCTCCTCCTCCTCCTCCTCCTCCTCCTCCATCCTTCTCTTGCCTCCGTCTGTCCTCCTCCACCCCGCAGCTCCATCATCCTCCTCCTCCTCCTCCTCCTCCTCCTCCTCCTCCTCCTCCTCCTCCTCCTCCTCCTCCTCCTCCTCCTCATTCCTCCTCTGGGCACCTCCCCCGGGGCGCGGATCCACCGGATCTGTCCGGATCTGTCCGGAAACGGTGCCGGATGCCGCTCTGGGCTCCTCTGGGCACCTCCCCCGGGGCCGGTTTTGTGAGGATGTCTCAAGCGAGGGCGCCGGTTTGGGATTCGTCGGATCCACCGGATCCAGCGGATCTGTCCGGAAACGGTGCCGGAGGCCGCTCTGGGCTCCTCTGGGCACCTCCCCCGGGGCCGGTTTTGTGAGGATGTCTCAAGCGAGGGCGCCGGTTTGGGATTCGTCGGATCCAGCGGATCCACCGGATCTGTCCGGAAACGGTGCCGGAGGCCGCTCTGGGCTCCTCTGGGCACCTCCCCCGGGGCCGGTTTTGTGAGGATGTCTCAAGCGAGGGCGCCGGTTTGGGATTCGTCACCGGATCCAGCGGATCCACCGGATCTGTCCGGAAACGGTGCCGGAGGCCGCTCTGGGCTCCTCTGGGCACCTCCCCCGGGGCCGGTTTTGTGAGGATGTCTCAAGCGAGGGCGCCGGTTTGGGATTCGTCGGCGGATCCACCGGATCCACCAGATCTGTCCGGAAACGGTGCCGGAGGCCGCTCTGGGCTCCTCTGGGCACCTCCCCCGGGGCCGGTTTTGTGAGGATGTCTCAAGCGAGGGCGCCGGTTTGGGATTCGTCGGCGGATCCACCGGATCCAGCGGATCTGTCCGGAAACGGTGCCGGAGGCCGCTCTGGGCTCCTCTGGGCACCTCCCCCGGGGCCGGTTTTGTGAGGATGTCTCAAGCGAGGGCGCCGGTTTGGGATTCGTCGGATCCACCGGATCCAGCGGATCTGTCCGGAAACGGTGCCGGAGGCCGCTCTGGGCTCCTCTGGGCACCTCCCCCGGGGCCGGTTTTGTGAGGATGTCTCAAGCGAGGGCGCCGGTTTGGGATTCGTCAGCGGATCCACCGGATCTGTCCGGAAACGGTGCCGGAGGCCGCTCTGGGCTCCTCTGGGCACCTCCCCCGGGGCCGGTTTTGTGAGGATGTCTCAAGCGAGGGCGCCGGTTTGGGATTCGTCACCGGATCCAGCGGATCCAGCGGATCCAGCGGATCTGTCCGGAAACGGTGCCGGAGGCCGCTCTGGGCTCCTCTGGGCACCTCCCCCGGGGCCGGTTTTGTGAGGATGTCTCAAGCGAGGGCGCCGGTTTGGGATTCGTCACCGGATCCAGCGGATCCAGCGGATCCAGCGGATCTGTCCGGAAACGGTGCCGGAGGCCGTTCTGGACTCGTGCTCTTCGCGCCGGGGGTGAGGATGACGTGAGTTCCACAGAAACTCCCTCAAATTATTGGGGTCGCATTTGCTGAAACATGGCAGCGCCGTCCGATCTGCGGTGAGTTTGAGCTGCGGTGAGGCCGAGTGCCATACACTACTGCGTGGATGCTGCCACGGTTCTTGAGCACAGGGGACGCTGATCGAACTTGGGGTCGAGGTGGACAACGAGGCGGGGCCATGCATTTTCAGCGACAGCTCAGCCGCGAGGGGACTTGCAAGCCGACAGGAAGCGGGGGCTGCACGACGCCTGGACGTTCGATTTCTTTGGCTGCAAGAACGAATCCACAGCAGGAGGTCGACGCTGAAGACTGTCGAAGGGCACTGGGACCCTGCGGGCCCTGTTCACCAAGGCCTTCGACCAGGACGCGATGCAGCGGTTGCTGAAGCTGATTTGCTTCACGATGAAGACCGGCGGTGGCGAGAGGCACCGCCGTTTGTGATGACGTCGGCCGTTTGCCGGCGATGCCGCGTGGAAAAATCCGAGCAGTTTGTCCCGCTGGCTTTCGCCTTCCCCCTTCGCCCATGCGTGGCGCCGACGGCCGAGGAGGGGTGTTCGGTTTCCCTAAGGGCCAGCGCGTAGTCCAGGATACTACTGAAACCTAATGGAGTTTTTGGCTTCATCTAGAACGGAGCTTAGGAAGCGGAAATACTTTAGATTGGTCGGTTCTCCGTCCGTAGTCCATCGTGGTCAAAAGAGACAGAGATCTCTCTCTCTCGTTCTCTCTCTCCCTCTCGCGTTCTCTCTCCTGCGGCTGCTTGACCATGGCGTTGATGAGGAAATGGGGTTTGGGGGGCTGGCCGCGGAAAGGCGCAGGAACCGACGTGCTCCCGCGCATGTCAGACAATTGGTCGCGGTTGGTCCATCTTAGGACAGGTGGTTCGACAATCGTCGCGCCTCGTGGCGGCCCGTCTTTGGGGCGCTCTTCCACGCGAGGCGCAGGCCCCAGAGGGGGGGGGGTCGGGTCGCCGGCGCCGCGAGGTCGTCCGCTTTTCCAGCGACGAGAGCGCAGACCGCGCGCTGCAGGCCCTGAGGTCCGCCCTTCCGGCGCACGTACGGGAGGGCCTCGGAGGAAAGCGGCCGCGCCGTTGAATGTCCCTTTTCCTCTTTCCACGTCCATTTCCGTTATCTCACCGTCCCCCTCCCCGCCCCCCTGTTGCCCCCCCTCCTTTTCCCTCATCCTCTGTTCCTCCTCCCCCTCCTCCTCCTTCCTTTTCTTCCGCTTCCCTCCTCCGTTTTCCATCCCCCTTCTCTTGACAGTTCCATAGTCCTTGCTCCGCTTCCTCCCCTTATCCTCCCCCCACACTCCTTTTTGTCCGTCCTCCCTCCTCCTCCTCCGTCCCCCCTTTTCTTCCGGAGCCATTTTGGTCAACATTATCGTCGTTTCGCGGGGTGCACGTCCCGAGCGCATCAATAGTGGGCGTTGGGTGATTAGCCCGGCTCGTCTGCCGCGAAGCTATGCCGCATCGTTGAGCATGCCCTTGGGGCGCTGCCAGTGCCGCGGGGAGCGGATGCTCTCCTCCTCTGCCCGTTTCAGCGTCAGGACAAGCGAGCGAACATCAGAAGACAAAGGGTTTCACCGCGTCTCACCACACACCAACACGCCATTCGCATATAAGTCCGCGAATGTGTTGGCAGTTTCTTGGGGTCGTTTGGATTTTTCCTGACCCTCCTTGGTTGGGCATTCGTTTTGAATAAAGCACTGCGGTCTCCAGTCCTCCTCTCCCCTCTCGCCTCTCGCTTCCCTCTTGTCTCCTCTTGTCGGGTGTGTACCTCGTGTGTGTGTGTGTGCATCCTGGTTGCGGTACCTCTTGTGTGTGTGTGCATCTTGCCAAGGGGTTGCGATCTGTGAGATTGTCGCCATTTTCGAGGGTTGTTGGTGGGTCCAGCGGCTCCTCTTGTCTTGTGCGTACCCCGTGCCTGTGTGTGTGCATCCTGGCTGCGGTACCTCTTGTGTGTGCATCTTGCCAAGGGGCTGCGATCTGTGACATTGTCGCCACTTTCGAGGGCTCCTGTTGGGACCAGCGGAGTGAGGCACCGCGGGGACCTGAGCGAGACCTCGCCCTCCCTTGGGGGCTGCGATCTGCGACACTGTCACCACTTTCGAGGGCTGCTGTTGAGTCCAGCGGAGTGAGGCACTTCGGGGTCCTGAGCGAGACCTCGCCGTCTCTGGGGGGGGCTGCGATCTGCGACACTGTTGCCACTTTCGAGGGCTGCTCGTGGGTTCAGCGGAGTGAGGCACCGCGGGGACCTGAGCGAGACCTCGCCGTCCCTGGGGGAGGTTGCGATCTGCGACATTGTCGCCACTTTCGAGGGCTGCTGGTGGGTCCAGCGGAATGAGGCACCGCGGGGACCTGAGCGAGACCTCGCCGTCCCTGGGGAAGCTGCGATCTGTGACATTGTCGCCACTTTCGAGGGGTCCAGCGGAGTGAGGCACCGCGGGGACCCGAGCGAGACCTCGCCGTCCCTGGGGGGCTGCGATCTGCGACACTGTCGCCACTTTCGAGGGCTGCTGTTGGGTCCAGCGGAGTGAGACACCGCGGGGACCTGAGCGAGACCTCGCCGTCCCTGGGGAGGCTGCGATCTGCGACACTGTCGCCACTTTCGAGGGCTGCTGGTGGGTCCAGCGGAGTGAGGCACCGCGGGGACCCGAGCGAGACATCGCCGTCCCTGGGGGGCTGCGATCTGTGACACTGTCGCCACTTTCGATGGCTGCTGCTGGGACCAGCGGAGTGAGGCACCGCGGGGACTTGAGCGAGTCCTCGCCATCCCTGGGGGGCTGCGATCTGCGACACTGTCGCCACTTTCGAGGGCTGCTGTTGAGTCCAGCGGAGTGACGCACCGCGGTGACCTGAGCGAGACCTCGCCGTCCCTGGGGGGCTGCGATCTGCGACATTGTCGCCACTTTCGAGGGCTGCTGTTGGATCCAGCGGAGTGAGGCACCGCGGTGACCTGAGCGAGACCTCGCCGTCCCTTGGGGGCTGCGATCTGCGACACTGTCGCCACTGTCGAGGGCTGCTGGTGGGTCCTGCGGAGTGAGGCACCGCGGGGACCTGAGCGAGACCTCGCCGTCCTTGGGGAAGTTGCGATCTGTGACATTGTCGCCACTTTCGAGGGCTGCTGGTGGGTCCAGCGGAGTGAGGCACCGCGGGGACCCGAGCGAGACCTCGCCGTCCCTGGGGGGCTGCGATCTGCGACACTGTCGCCACTTTCGAGGGCTGCTGTTGGGTCCAGCGGAGTGAGACACCGCGGGGACCTGAGCGAGACCTCGCCGTTCTGGGGAGGCTGCGATCTGCGACACTGTCGCCACTTTCGAGGGCTGCTGGTGGGTCCAGCGGAGTGAGGCACCGCGGTGACCTGAGCGAGACCTCGCCGTCCCTTCGGGGCTGCGATCTGCCACACTGTCGCCACTTTCGAGGGCTGCTGGTGGGTCCAGCGGATTGAGGCACTGCGGGGACCTGAGCGAGACCTCGCCGTCCCTGGGGAGGCTGCGATCTGCGACACTGTCGCCATTTTCGAGGGCTGCTGTTGGGTCCAGCGGAGTGAGGCACCGCGGGGACCTGAGCGAGACCTCGCCGTCCCTTGGGGGCTCTGGAGAGCTTCTGTGGGGTACGTTAGGCGCAACGGGCGCATGGCACAGCCAACGGGGGTGATTTGTGAAACAGACCATCTGCCCGGCGATGGCCATAACGTTGCGTCTACACGTATCCCGTGGGGGGTGTCAAGAGTTGCTGTGGGATACGTTGGGTGCAACGGGCGCATGGCACTGCCAACGGGGGTGATTTGTTATTACGCAGTCCTTTATATCTTGATCGGGGGCCTGCGAGCCTTCCGATTGCTGCTCGGAAAATCACATGCGTCCATGTTACGTCATCGCCCCCGTTGTAGCAATCCTGATGTACTTATACCCCGCATTGTGCAAGGGTTGGGTACGTCGCCAGGGTAATTTACCAACCATCCTGTGGTGTTGGGTCCTCATTTTGAAAATGACAGCGCCCCGCGTTCCTCACCTCACCTCCCCCCCCCTCCGCGTATCGTGGCCCCAGTCCACCACTGGACGCCCCAGTGGCAGCGCCCGCATGGCATCACCGCGCCCAAGTCGGCACACCCCTCACGCGCTTCGTGGCCCCAGAGGGAGCTCCACCGAAGGCCCCAGCGATAGCGCCCACATGGCACCACCGCTCTCAATGCGGCACACCCTTCACAGGCTTCGTGGCCCCATGTGGAGCTCCACCGAAGGCCCCAGCGATAGCGCCCGACCCCGCCCATTTCGGCACACCCCACACACGTTTCGTGGCCCTGGAGGGGCTCAACGGAACGCCCAAGTTGCAGCGCCCGCAATGGACTACCGCACCCTTTTCGGCACACCCTTCACACGCTTCGTTGCCCCACAGGGAGCCTCACCAAAATCCCCAGTGGCAGCGCCCGCATGGCACCACCGCACCCGTTTCGGCACACCCCTCGCACGTTTCGTGGACCCAGAGGGAGCTCCACTGGAGGCCCCAGTGGCAGCGCCCAAATGGCGAGCACACCCCTCACACGTTTCGTAGCCTCACACACCGAAGGCCCCAGCGATAGCGCCCGCATGGCACCACCGCACCCGTTTCGGCACACCCCTCGCACGTGTCGTGGCCCCAGAGAGCTCTACCGGAGGCCCCAGTGGCAGCGCCTTAATGGCGTCATTGCACCCCATCCAGCACACCCCTCACACGTTTCGTGGCCCCCAAAAGAGCTCCATCGAAAGCGGTCGATACCCACAATGCGGTATTCATAATTGAATATGGTTGGATCGCTTTGCCAGAAAAATGTGTGTGCCTCGTGGAGTTTGTTTGGGGGCCGATGTTTATTGGGGGCCCTTTGGGGGCCTCTTGGGGCCCTTGGTGGGGCCCGTGGGCCGTCTTGGGGCGCTCTTGCCCCGTCTGGCCCTTTCGGAGGTTGCCTTGAAGGCCTCTCGGGGCCGCCTTGTGGCTCTCTTGGGATTATCTTCGGCCGTTTGGGGACTCTCTTGAGCCGTTTTGTGGGCCTCTTTAGGATGTCGTGGGGCCCTCTAGGGCTGTCTTGGGAGCCCTCTTTGGGGCCTCTGAGGCTGTTTTGAGGCAATCTTGGAGGTGCTTGCGCCATCATGGCCAACCGAGAGTCGAAAATGGCGAGCACGCGACAATCTTGCAAAACCTATGATGACATCAGGGGTCTTTTGGGGGCCATCTTGAGTCGCCTTGGGTGCCTTTGGGCCCCATCGGGCCATCTTGGGCCGTCCTGGGGCCGTCTTGGCCCGTCTTGAGGCCACCTTGAGCCGTCTAGAGGCCCTCTTGGATACCCAAGAAGGCCAAAAGGTTTGAACCATTGATTTTGAATCGGTTACGATACGTTTTTGACCCCCAGAAGGGGTTCACCACGTTTGGTTGACGGATATGGCGCGACTCCTTGGAGGGGAAGGGTTGAGGGGGGGAAGCATACGAATGCAACACGATAACATGTATGTAGGATCATGCAACATGTTGATACATTGGACACGTTGGAAAGAGCGCGCTCGTGGCGCACTTCTCATTAAAAGGGGGCCCAGCTTCAAGCTAACCCCTCCTTCCTCAATTAGAAAAGGGGGGGTGCTACCCCCCCTCCCCCTCTTTTGTGGGCATTTTTTTTGCTGGGGAGCCCTAGCTCAAAGGGGGGGGCTTGGAAGCTACCCCCTCCCTCCCTCCCTTTTCGGGGCCCGGGGCGCATGCCGCGCAAGGGCAGACTATGGGCGCAGTGATAGCGGACCTCGGAAGATAGCGGGGCGTAAGTTTGATCTCCAGTTACGTGGCCATCACACGTGTGCGACGGTGGCAGAGACGAGTGATCTTCCAGCCTTTTCGACAAGAATGTGCTCATCGAAGGTGAGACTGCGGATGTTAAAAGTTGCGACCGCAGCGCATGCGCGGCAGGGCCGCTGCAACACCCTGGGGCGCGCTGGGCAACGACGGCTGCAATGACGGGCAGCAGGGCGGCGGCGCGGCGGCAGCAGATGCGAAGGTTGGAGCCGCCATTGGCGTGAACGTTGCTGGTCCAAGCGCCGCCGAGATGGCGCGCGGCGTCTTTAACCGACAGGTGGGCTGATCAAGCGTGCGTGGACGGCCCAGTCCGAGGCCATCGACAACCACCGGCATCGTTGGCTACGGAGGCCAGCGGTTCCTGCTCTCCTCCTTCTCCTCTTTCTCCTCCTCCTCCTCCTTCTCCTCCTCCTCCTCCTCCTCCTCCTCCTCCTCCTCCTCCTCCTCCCCCTCCTCCTCCTCCTCCTCCTCCTCCTCCTCCCCCTCCTCTTCTCCCCCTCCTCCTCCTGTGGATACGGTGACGGCTCGCGCCGGGTTCGAGCAGAGGGCCGTGTCAGATCGGCCAGCGCCAGGGGCCCGGAGGGCCAGAGGGCCCAAGTCGAGAAACATCGCTGGGACTGAGCAAACAAGCGATTGACAGGGTTCCACTCCTCCTCCTCCCCCTTTTTCTCCTACTTCTCCTCCTCCTCCTCCTCCTCGTCCTCCTCCTCCTCCTCCTCCTCCTCTCTCCCTCTCTCCCTCCCTCCCTCCCTCCCTCACGTCTTTTGCCTCAGGGCACCCGCCAGCGGGACGAGAGGGCGCCGCGCGGGGACGGTACAGGTCCGGGCAGATCTGGATCGACGGGCTGCCCCTGGCAGGCCCCGCCGGCGCGGCCCCGCCGCCCCGCAGCACCCCATCTCGCCATTCCGCCGCCGCCGCCGTCGCCGTGGGCCGTCGCCGCCCCCGTGGTGGTCGTCGCTGCCACTGTTCGGCGGCGAGATCCGAACCCGACATTCGCTGATCAACGATTCAGGTACCTCGATGGGCGGCCGGGGCACGCTTCGGAATTCGTCGAGCACGTGGCGAATCCCGAGCCTACCCCCGCGTGCCATCGAACCAAACAAAATCGATGGTCGGTTGGGGTACGGTTCCGGCATTGCCACCTACCCGTCGGACCTTCCAGACCTCCAACAATCTGATTCGTTTAAGCCAAGCGTTTGCGTTCGATTCTGGGCATTGGGGTGCCATAAATTTTGGATCCGAGTCGTCGTTTTCGTCGTCGGCGTCGGCGTCGTCGTCGTCCGCTGCCGCCGCCGCCGCCGCTCTCGTCGTCGCCGCGGCCACCGAAGAAGGGGGGGCGGGGCTTTGGCCGCAGACGCGAGGCGGCGGCCCTCAGCGGGCCCCAGAACCATTACATAACGATTCAGTATGAACAAATTGCCTTAGGGAAGCGGTCCAGACCTCCGGGACTCCACGCATCGAAAGAACTGGAGCGCCAGATAATTGAGGATAAGTCGTTCCAGAGCGTTCCCGAACGTTTTTATAGCGTCCGGAATGATCTGAAACGGCAGCAACGTGGCTGTAGGCAGGAGAGGAGGGAGGGGCTTGTCAGGGGCCAGGCAGACGCTAGTCGCTACAGTGGGAGAGCGCAACAAGAAACCACATGCTTTTCGTCAGGGTATTATGGGTTTCTTCGCTCCTCGCGCTGCGCGGTGACTTCCCGCAGCCGTCGAAGGAGCTGCTGCGTTCAGGGTGCTCCGGTTTTCCCCTCAGGTGCACCTCGCGCACGAGTTCGCAGGGTTGGGTTTCTTGCGAGGGGTTCTTGCGGCCGCACCAGCACCGTAATAGATGAAGGTGAGGCGTAGGCAGACCGAGGATGGGTCGAGCGTCCGCTTCGTCCGCCTCGTGGGCCTCGGGGCGGTCCAGGCGTCTACTCCAGGAGCTCTGCGAGATAGCACCACCAGATCGATTTGCGCAGGTGATTCAGCAGGCTCTCCTCTCCAAGCTGCTTCCTTGCCATCCTCGAACAAAAATGCATAAGCATAAATGTTTGGAGGTCCGCGCGGATTTCTTGGATCGGCGCTTGCCCCCCCTCCCCGGCGCGCGGAGCAGCCCAAGGGCGGCACTGGAGGTTCCGCCAGGAAGGTCCAACGCCGATCCATGTCGCGCCAAGTTGCGAAAGTTTATGTTTATGCCACCAACTCCTTCTCCTGACAAGATCGATTTTCGCATTCCGTTTGGAAGGCTCCGAGTTGTTACCGCGCTTGCTTCGAAGGAGAAGCATTTGCATAAGCATACGTTCAGCCATCAGGCGCATGTTCTTCTGCTGACCCGGTCGATTTGCGAGAAGGTTGTAAGGGTCTCCGAGCTGTTTGGCGTCTTCCTCCAGGAAGAATTTGATCGGCTTGCGCGCGCAGTTCGGAAGGATATTCGAGCTGTTTCCGCGCTTTCCGCGCGCTGCCTTCCAGGGCCCATTCTGGTCCGATCGATCCGAGTCGATATCGGTTCCGTCTGGCTCGATCAGATGCGGCCCGCAGTGGGCTGTTGTGCATCGTCGCGCAGCCGATCCGATTTGATGCCGATTCCGCGCCGATGGGGCCCGATCTTACACCCGTTCTAATCCGATCCGATTTCCCGATTTTATGCTGAGTGATCTAGATCACCCGCTGAGAGGGGGAGGAGGATTGGCGAGGGTCGAGGAGAGGGAGGGGGAGGGGACGGAGGAGTAGGGTGACGAGGAGGAGGATGCGAAGACGGAGGTCGAGGAGGATCAGAGGAGGAAGGGATACCGAGACCCCAGGTTACCCACGGGCGCGGGCAGATAGTCGCGCATCGCTCGTCGGCCTGGCCCGCCGAGGCGCCCTTCTCCACGGCGGCGACGCGCTGCGCGAAGGGCGAGCGCGCATCGCGCAGCGCGATGTGCGATGTTGGGCCACCTGCGGTCAAGGTGCTGAAACGAGAATCATGTTTTGCTCAGGAGGGGCTCCGGTGTTCGGGCTGTTCCTTAGCCCCAGGTGGGGGAGGCTACTCTTGGCCGAGGCTTGCCGTGACCAGACGGCGATTCGTTCCCGAGGCAGCGGTTCGTATGGTGGTGTGGTGACTGTACGGCGACCCTGCCGCTGGCGTTCAACGTTGAACGCCGCGGGCGACCCGAAATCGAGCGATGTCGAACGATCTGGCGTGTCGGAAACGGACGATCGTTGAATGTTGAACGATCCCCGAAGGTGTCAGAAGCCAGCGCTGCCGCGGCTGGCCCTGCCTTCCGCGCGCGCCCTCCCGCAGGCGAGTGGAGGGGTACCACTGCCCCGAAGAGGCGGGACGACAGGCTCCCGCTTCCCAACGGCCGCGCGGCCGGGGTCCTCCGCCAGCATCACCACCACCACCGCCACAACCACCACCATCAGCATCAGCATCAGCATCAGCATCAGCATCATAATCAGTACCAGTATCAGTATCAATATCAGCATCATCAGCAGCAGCAGCATCATCATCATCATCATCATCATCATCATCAGCATCAGCATCAGCATCATCATTATTATCATCATCATCATCATCATCATCATCATCATCATCATCATCATCATCATCATCATCATCATCATCATCTTTATCATCGTCGTCATCATCCTCAATCCTCATAATCCTCATTAGCCTCATCCCGGCTCTGCCGAACCTGGAGACACGAAGCATCCCACGTGACAGCTCTCCGTGCCCCCTCGCACAGTCGCCGTCCAGATTGCTGGGCTGCCGGTACGGTGGCGGGGCTTGCTACGGGCAGCTGGACCGTGCTCTCTTCGCTCTCAGATCGGCCCGCTTCGGGCCTCCTGCCGCCGTGGCGTAATGCTGATACTCTGCGCCCAGCAGGATCGCAGCCCGAACTCATCGTTGGAGCCTTCCCGAGTGGTATCGGGTGCGCCGAAGAGGAAGGGGCCCTGGGGCACACAAAAACAGACACATCACAGGACTCCCCGCATTTTCCCAGATTTTCTTGGGTTTTGCCTTCCCCCCCCCACTTCCTTTAGTTTCTCATATGTTCCTGGGAATCGACGATTAAATTGTGTCTGTGTGTGTTTTTCCCCTCCTGAGTAGGATCGGATACGCCGAGAGGGGGGGGGCAAGAGGCGGCGGGGGGGTGCGCAGCGTGGCCCGAGGCAGGTGCGCGGACACGGGGGGCGCCAAGGAGCGCACGGAAAGAAGAAGAGGGAGAGCCAGGAACTCTGGGAGATTTCCTGGCCCCGGCCACGATATCGACTCACCCCTGGTTCTGGACGCCCGAGATGGGCACGGAAATGGGTACGATGCCCAACAGCAGTTCTTTGTCATTCTGAGCAGGATCCGCTGTCCGCGCCGCCGCGGCCTGTGTTCATTTGAGACAGGAGGCCGCCTGCCCAACAGCGGCCGCTGTTGGCTCGGGACAGCATTCGCTGTTAGGCAGTTTGCCCATTGTTTCCGTGCCCATTTCGGGCGTCCAAATCATGGCCCCGGCCATGATATCGACTCACCCCTGGTCCTCGCCCTTCTCTGAGGGGGAACGATAAGGGGGGAGCCGGCTAATGGGGCAAGCACGGAATCGGCGATACATCGCAAGTATGAAGGAGATAGGCCCCCAACATCGAACCCGCGCGTTCCCGAGGTTGGGGTGGGCTAACCTGGCAGATATTGGTGATGAATTGGTGATTGGAGATCGATGCGCCCCCCCGAGCCCATCTCTATCTAGCGGACTCTAGCGCTGGCCCCTGAAAGGACAAATTCAAAGGACAAATGTTCGGGACATAGTTCGGGCATCCAGCGCACGTTCGGGCCGATCTGTGCGCCCCCCAGGAGGCCCTCGGCGAGGCGCAGCTGCGGGAGGTGCATCCCGAGGCTTGAAAACCGACGAGAACCGACGAAAACGTCCGAAGACTTGCAACCGTCAACTCGAAATGGTCGCCCCCCCCACGCCACGAGCCTATTCTCCCGAGCGTTGCCCCTGACCCTCTCGGACGCCCCCGACGGCATCCTGACCAATTCGTCGAACGGATCCCGCCGTGATTGCGCGCGGACGGTGGTGATGACGATGTTGATGGTGCTGATGATGACGATGCTGCTGCTGCTGCTGATGATGATGATGATGGCGGTGGTGGTGGTGATGATGATGATGATGCTGATGATGATGATGTTGATGATGTTGATGCTGATTGTGACGACGACGACGACGTCGACCGCGACGACGTCGACGACGACGATGATGACGACGACGATAATGATAATGATGATGATGATGATGATGATGATAATGATGATGATGATGATGATGATGATGATGATGATACTGATACTGATACTGATACTGATACTGATACTGATACTGATCTTGATACTGATATTGATACTGATACTAATCATGATGATGATGATGATGATGGTGCTGATGCTGTTGCTGATGCTGATGCTGGTGCTGATGCTGATGCTGATGATGCTGATGCTGATGGTGACGACGACGACGACGTCCACCGCGACGACGTCGACGACGACGATGACGACGACGATAATGATGATGATGATGATGATGATGATGATGATGCTGATGATGATGATGATGATGATGATGCTGATGCTGATGCCCGATGCTGATGCTGATGCTGATGCTGATGCTGATGATCATCGATGATGATGATGATGATGATGATGATGATGATGCTGACCATTATCATCATGCTGATGGTGGTGGTGATGATGATGACGAGGAGGTGGTGGTGGAGGAGGTAGATGAGGATGTGAGGATGATCAGAAAGAAGGGGAAGGCAGTCACGTGTGACCCCCGTCGTCTTCACTGCTGTGGGAGCGCTCACGGAACTCGTTTGGGCCGTTTTGTGTTTGGCTTGGCCTCTTGTGAGGCAGTCTTGAGGATCCCTTGGGCCTTCTTGGGCCGTCTCGGGGCTCTTGGCGCCGCTCTGGGCCGTCGAAGGGCTTTCTACGGCCGTTTTGGGGCTCACGGGAGGCCGTCTTGCGCCGTCTTGGGGCAACATCGGCTGCCTCTTGGGCCATCGTGGAGTTCTTTTGGACCATCTTGGGACCCACTTGGGGGCCTCTTGGGCCGTCTGAGGGCCAGCTGGAGGCTCCTTGGGCCGTCTTGAGCTGATGGCAGCCTGGAAAGGTGATAATGCGAAAATCATTGGTGTTTGCTTCTTCGGCCCTCCTTTGATTTCCTCTTGTGGACCCTCTCGGAGGCATCCCAGGCCGTCTTCGGGCCATGCTTGGCCGCCTTGGGGCCATCTTGGGCCATCTTGATCCGCCGTCGAGGCATTTGGGGCCACCTTGGTGTCCTTGGCTGCGAGCGTGGGCCGTCTTGGAAGCCCGGAGCGCGGGCCCACTGTGTTTACGGAGGGGACGCGGCCTCGGGAGCGTGGATCCATCGTTTCTGTTAACGGGGGATCGTGGCCTCAGGGGGCAGGGGCGATGCACGCACCAGTCTGCGGGCTGGAGTGGTGCTCCCTGGGTAGAACAATATACAGAAGCCCTACCAGACAGCACTGGACTTTCCGAAGGTGTTTGGTGGGGTTCTTCAGGTACAGATGAAGTTCTTTGGACTTGACTGCGCAGATCGCGTCGCGGAGTGTGAGCGACGGCGGGAGTTGTTGTCGTCTGTGCTAGGGGGTGGCGGCCGATCGGTGGGCGGGTGGGCTAAGGCAGGGCAGTCAGCATAAGCAGCTGTCGAGTGTGCCTCCTTGCTGGCGGGTATGTACGCGGACGCGCCAGGGGCTATACGATTCGGAGCGCGCAATATATCAGATGATGCATTCGGCTGACCATTCTAATTCAGGGGAACTTTCAGCGGGCGTCGAGCTGCAGCCCAGGTGTGCGATGTGGCATGATGTTCCACTGTCACGACGTTGGTACAGAGTGCTTTTGCGACGTTGTCGTCGCCCCCCTCTTTTCCTATTCTCGCCAGCTGTTACCTCAGCGGTATCAGCATTGGTGCCCGCGGTCCTGCCCCCCCTCCTCCAGGCAAATATCTCAGTTGATATTGCGTATTTTAGGGGATTGGCGGATAGTTTTCAATACGTGCTCGATTGTTAAGTTTCCTTGCAGCATTGGGACAACATCTACACACGAATCCTCTGTGGCCAGTTTCTCGCTTCATTAGCAGATATTTGGAGGGTGGTTTTCCGGCCTGCGTTGCCATGGCCAGCCCATGTTTTCAGGGTCGCTTCCCGTGGGGCTCCGAGCCCCATTGTTTTTTCCCGGCGTATCTGTAGGGCTCCTACACATTGTAGCACGCTTCGCCTTCGTTTCACATCGCCGTGCCGTAGACAGCCCGTCCGCATGAATGTGGCGTGTGCATGTTCGCATTGTTCAAGCGAGAAGCGTCTTCCCAGGTATAGTTCGCCCTCCTCTACGATCTCTTGGGAGAAATGGCGGGAGCCTGGAGAAAGAGCGGGAGCCCGGGCCGTGAGGCTTCAGGAGGGAAAAGAACACACAGAAACAATGAATCGTCGTTTCCCCAGGAAAATATTTGAAAATATGGGAAGTGGGGAGGAAAACAGAAACCCAGAAAATATGGCGAAATATGGGGAATCTTGGGATATGTGTGTGTGTGTATTTCTCTGTGTGTCCCTGGGCCCCACTCAGTGTATGTTGAGGGAGCGCGCGTGCGCCCCCATCTCCTGCCACGCTCCCAGAGGCGACGGCTGCGACCGCGAGAGTTCGCTGCTCGTTCGCGGCAGGACGTGGCCCCACAGCCGAGGTCGGGGAGACGTCAGACTCGGGTAAGCCACAGCTCGGGTCTGACGACTCTCTTTTGACGAGCGCGTCCTGGATGTTGACGGTCCCGCATTTGTTGGGACGTCTGCAGCGGGAGCCCGCGTCAGATTTCAGATTGGGCCTTGCCATGTTTATGATGGCCCCCGTCCGGCCAACCCGAATCTTCCTTGCCCGAGTCTTACGTCTCCCCGACAAGAGAACCCAATGCGCGACCGTGATCGGGAGATCCCTTGTCGTGGCAGTCCAGCTGCAGTCTGTTTTACGAACAGTGGGATTTAGAGCATGCTGGAACAGTGCTGAAGTCTCGGGAACCGTATGGCACAGGTAACTGCGTTGTTTGGATGATTGTGTGTTTTCTTTCGCTTCGGTTTGTCCCAATGCAAGGCCAATGCAAGCACAGTCAACGCAACGCTGCGCGATGCCATGAAGGCGCAATTCCGTGCTAAGCACGAGTATGCATTGCCCAGCAGGACGCAAGCATTCAATGCACAACGACGCAATACAGACACAACAATGTGGCTCTTGCTCAAGGCAGCGCAACGCATTGAAAGGTAAAGTACGTAGTGCAACGCAATGCAGAGCGAAGCAGTGCAAGGCAAACTACAATGTTAAAGCAAGTAAGGACTGCTATTGCATTCACGTAAGTCAAATCGGTGCAACGTTATGCAAGAGCGCACCGTAATTCAAACAAACTCGCAGTACAAGAGAAACGCAGTAAACCCCAATCTAAATCCATGCCAATGCAGTGTCATGTCATGTAAGAGTGCATTGCCATTCGTAGCAAAGCGAAGAAAGCCAAGTCAACGGAAAGCAGCGCCAAGCAAGGCGGAGCGAGGACACAAACTGCCGAACGCAATCCATTGACAGCAAAGCTATCATTTTCAAGCGAAACCATGGAGCACGATCAGAGCACTGCAGCGCAGAGCATCGCAGAACACAGCAAAGCACATCGAAGCAAAGTGAATGATGCAACCTAGAGCAAGAGACCACGTGCGACATCAACGTAATCGACACACGCGATGCGCAGGACTCCAAAGCAGGACCTAGCAGAATCGCAGACTGGGGGGTGCGGTCCAAGTGAAACGGAGACCTCCCACAAGGACGTCGCTTTTTTTCCTGCTCGTGCCGTGCGCGCGGGCGGGGCGAGGCTGCCTGCACGGACGAGAGGAGGGATCCCGCCGTGACCAGGGCGAAGTCGGAGCCAAAGACCTCCCGCGGGTCGGCGGATTGCGGGCCCGCGGCTGTCCCGCGGTTGTCCCGTGGTTATCCCGTGGTTGTCTTACGGTCGTCCCTCGGTGGTCCCGTGGTTGTTCCGATGGTGGTCACAACGGTTGTCCCGACGTTTGTCCAGATGGTTGTCCCGATGATTGCCCCGTTGGCAGACGGATTGATTGATAGTGGAATCGATAGGTAGCAAGTGGGGCTGATAGATATTGATAGATGTGTTCTACGAATGTGCTGGTGGTGGAATCCAGCGATAGATATGGAGATTGACCGGTCGTTCGATCGATGGAGAACGGGGTCGGTAGATGAACAGATAGTTATATAATTGATACGGCAGATAGACCGATAGAGGTTGTTCGATGGATTGAGTTGGTTCTCCCGATGTTTGTGTGGTCGTTGGTTTTACCCTACAGAAACCCCAGATCCACTAACCGTTCGTTCGATGTTCGTTCTGGGGACCTGCTTGGGACCCACCTGACGGATGTACTCGAGTCCAGTTCGGTTCAAGTTCGATTCAAGTTCGATTGAAGTTCGATTCAGGTTCGATTCAGGTTCGGTTCGAGTCGACGGACGTCCGACGCAGCTTCGACGCGCGAGTGGAGCGAGTGGTTCCAAGAAGGTCCCCAGAATGAGTATCGAACGTTCAGGCTAAGTCACGCTTTCCGAGGAAGCTGATCATGTCCAGCTATATCGCCAGGGTTCGTGTAAATGTGCTTGTTCTCATATGTAAGCAGTCTTCAATTATATTGGTCGAGGATGGGCTTCGGTGGCTCGCCACTCTATTCCACAGTGGCCTCAAAAAGGGAGTTCCCGCTCGAGAGTTCCTGACAATGCGTTCACAGACGTGGTTTCCGCTCGACGCCTCCAGATCCCACCAAGACGGCCCCTGAAGGCTTCAAAATCGGTTCGTTGGTGCCCATGCGGTTTCCAGATAGTCAAACATCGCATCAAGACGGCCCGAGGTGGCACCGAGACGGCCCATTATGACTTCAAGACGACCCAAGAGGCCCTCAAGAGGGCCCAAGAGTGCCTCCACAGGCGTTTTTTAGCTTTTTGCGGCTTGATCCGTTCCCTCTTTGCTCCCGTGGGCGACCGAGTTCCGGTGCCGCGGGATGTCGCTGCAGCGCAACATGGCCCTCCTGCGCCGGAGCGAACAGAGCGGGAGCCTGGCCAGCAGCGCGCCCAGCAGCGAGTCCGCCTCCGCCTTCGACCGCATGTGGAGCGCCCCGAGGAGCCGCGCCCCGATGACGGAGGAGGAGCTCGCCGCCCTCTGGCCCGCTCCCGAGCCCGACGCCGCGAGGGAGGCGGCGCCGCCCCTGCTCCCCGAGGCGGCCGCTCCCGCGGGCGAGCCGTCGGGCTGGGCGGGGGCGGCGGTGCGGGCGCTCCGCGCGCGGCTGCCACGCGCAGGCCCCTGAGCCGAGGACTTGGCACCGCTCGGACGTGTGCCTGTTTCCTCCGGCGAGGACCACCGAGGAGCATCCTGGATCATTTGGCGGAAGAACCACGCACGAGACCGAAAAAAGCACAGGGAATGGACGTCCGAGCGATGGCCAGAGGATGCCGCCGAGCCCGCCGCGGGGGCCGCGGAGCCCGCCGCGCCCGGCGGGCCGTCGTCGCCCAGGAGCGCCCCGTGCAGGTCGCGGTCCCCGTCGGGCCGCCCCCCCGCGGGGTGAGGCGGAGGCGGCGCACCCGCCGCTCTGAGCGGAAGCGGCGCGTGCCCGCGGGAGGTGCGAGCGGTGGGGGCGGCCGTAAGGACTGCGCCCATGGGGGGCTGCGGCAGCAGCAGGGGGCAGTAGATGTTTGTCCCTCGAGCCAGCGTGTCCCAACGGCAAGACACGCTCTCTGAAATCTATGCAAGACCTGCTCGTGAATGCTCTGCACTCCTGCTACAGGGCGGCGGTATCCACGGCCAAGCCTCAATTAGGCGGAAATCATGAATTCGTATCGCATGTCGCTGTTGGCCGAATGGATTCGCCAGCAGGCGGTTCCAGCTTAGTGCCTCGTTCGTGGCCTCTTTTTGTTATGCCGCTCTTGTCTTTTCGGATGCGCTCCTCAGAATTTTCACATCTTGTCTTTTCGGATGGGATGCGTCCCTCAGAGTTTTAACTGCAGTTGTTATGAAGCTATGATGCGTATGAAGCTCCGCTATTGCTAAGACCTTACGGCCGGTGCCGCCGACCCTGAAGACGACGACGACGAATACGAGAAGGAGGAGGAGGAGGAGGAGGAGGAGGAGGAGGGGGATTAAGGTGGAAGGGAGCAGGAGAAGGCAAAAGAGATGTTCCCCATGTGGGCCGAGGGATTCGCAGCAGAGACAGACAGGGAGCCTTGTGGCCTGCGGCCCTTGCCGCCACCGTGCTGGGGTTGTGGTTGAAAGGCCTCTTGCACGTTTTCGGGCCTGTTGGGGCCTCTGTTGGGCCCCTTGGGGGTTTCTTGGAGGCCTCTTCGGGCCCCATGAGGAGCTCTTGGGGCCTTCCAGGGGCTTCTTGGGGCGGGAAGCTCGAAATGTCGGTTCGTGGTCCTCTTCTTGGACCTGCTTGGGGCCCTGTTGGCGCGTCTTGGCGCTTTTGGGGCTCCAGGACGCCCAGGTGCGGATATGTATCTGACTGCTTTTTTTACGGCTCGGCACACTGCCTGAACCCTCGCCGAGGTCGCGGGCTCATGCCCGCGGAGGCCACGGAGCCCACCGCGGAGCCCTTTCCAGAGGGCGCGCCGCTTGTCGGGACCCTTGCGACCCGAAGGCGGTTCCCTGCTGTCCTTCTCTCCACCCTTCCTCCCCCCTTCCTTCTCTCATCGCTCATCCTTCTCTCCCCCCTTCCTCCCCGCCCATCTCCCCCCTCCAACGCCTGTATCCTTCTCCGTGGATCCGCGCGCTCACCAGCACATGACCCTGTGCCTTTCATCTAATTGCTCCCCTGTGCGAAAGCTTAGAGGGTTAGCGTGCGTTGATCCAGCGCAGCTGGTGCGGCTCTCTCAGGCGCCAGCACCCAGTCACCTCCTACCTCTGGAGGTGACGGGAGGCAGGGAGTGGCCGCCAGCCACTTGTGCTTGTGCTTTGTGGGTTGTGAGGGCGCTGAGTCCAAACACAAAAACTAGCCTGGTGAAGGACCCAACCATATGCAGTTCTGAGTAGCGCAGTTGTGGGTATCGTCTTCGGTGGAGCTCCCTATGGACGAGAGGGTGGGTGAGACGCATGTGTGCACCGCCACTGGGGCCTTCGTTGGAGCTCCCTATGGGGCCACGAAGCGCTCTACTGGGTGGGGAGACGCATGTGGACACCGCCACTGGGGCCTTTGGTGGAGCTCCCCATGGGGCCACGAAGCGCTGCACTGGGAGGGGGAGGCGCATGTGGACAACGCCACTGGGGCCTTCGGTGGAGCTCCCTATGGGGTCACGAAGCGCTGTACTGGGTGTGGAGACGCATATGAGCACCGCCATTGGGGCCTTCGGTGGAGCTCCTTATGGGGCCACGGGACGCTGTCCTGGGCTGGAAAGGCGCACGTGGACACCGCCATTGGGGCCTTCCGTGGAGTTCCCCATGGGGCCACGAAGCGCTGTACTGGGTTGGGGAGACGCATGTGGACCCCTATGGGGCCACGACTTGCTGCACTGGGTGGGGGAGACGCATGTGTGCACCGCCACTGGGGCATTCGGTGGAGCTCCCCATGGGGCCACGAAGCGCTGCACTTGGTGGGGGAGGCGCATGTGGACACCACCTCGGGGGCCTTCGGTGGAGCTCCGTATGGGGCCACGAAGCGCTGTGCTGGGTGGGGGAGACGCATGTGGACACCGCCACTAGGGCATCCGGTGAAGCTCCCTATGGGGCCACGAAGCGCTGTGTTGGGTGGGGGGACGCATGTGGATACCGCCACTTGGGCACTAGGTGGAGCTCCCTGTGGGGTCACGAGACGCTGTGTTGGGTGGGGGAGACGCATGTGGACGCCGCCACTGGGGCCTTCGGTGGAGCTCCTTATGGGGCCACGAAACGCTGTGCTGGGTGGGGGAGACGCATGTGGACACCGCCATTGGGGCCTTCGGCGGAGTTCCTTATGGGGCCAAGAAGTGCTGTGTTGGGTGGGGGATGACGCATGTGGACAAGACCGGGGAATTTGATGACAAAGAATTCAATTTTTTTTAGTTGCGACACCTACTCCCTATCCTCTTCCTCGAGCCCTATCAAGCCTTGAGGTCACATGCAAACATGTTTCGGAAATGCTGTTGAACTCTCTGACGCTGTCTTGGCACTCTCTTGGATCGTCTTCGTGTCCTCTTGGCTGCCCCTGAAACCATTGTAGATATCGATACCCCATGACCCCATGAGTTGAAGCAGTGGATGTTTCTAATTCTTTTTGCCCAAACTCACCCCCTGCTTATTTTCGCACGGATACCCCGAGGCATCCCGACTGACCGTGGCCTGCATGCAGAAAACGCCTAACCCAGAGCCCAGGCAGTACAGCTTGAAGAAAACGAAATCCCACCATTCCATTTTTCTCCAAGTTCGCCCCCTGTCTACTCTTGCATAACAGACCACAGTTAAGGCCCTTGAAAAGAACCCAGGACGCCTTCGAGGGCCCCAAGTCGTCGAACACTTAACGGCAATTAATGATTTCTGCGTTTCCGCAGTTCCCCGTCTCTGCGATCCCGAGGCTTGCGCAGGGCCTCCAAGGGAGTCCCTCGATGCGAGAAACGACAGGATTATATTCCATGCGTTCGCCCATCAAGCCTAGGTAGAACTCGAGGGCGCGCGATGGTACTAGTACCTATATGTACAGGGAGTTCCAACAAAAGTTGGGTCGGCATGCCCGGGCTCAGCCTCGCGGGCTTTCTCAAAAAAATGTATTTTTGGTTAGAAAAATTATTGTTTTGCTCCACGCCCTGGCGTCATCGCGCAAATCATATTCGAAAACCTAATTTTGAAACTTGTCACGGCGATCTTCCTCCAGATATTCTTCCGGATTTTCTTCCAGTTCTTCGCAGGTCATTCAATCTTCACGTAAATCTTCGCCCAGGCCCGTAAATCTTCACCCAGGGCTTTAATTTTCCCCCCAAAGCCAGAATTCTCCACTTAAATCTTCACCCCAGGCCCTAATCTTCACATAAATATGCGCCCAGGTCCGTAAATCTTCGCCTGAATCTTCTCCCGGGACCCTGAATCTTCACCTAGGCCGCAAAACTCCACCCAGGCCTGAAATATTCGCGTACATCTTCCTCCAGCGCGCTATATCTTCACCGAAGTGCGTAAATCTCCACCCTGGTCTTAAATCTTCATCAAAATATTAGCCCGGGCTCTTAAATCTTTATCCAGGGCATTCAATCTTCATTAAAATCTTCTTCCAGGCGCGTAAATCTTCAGCCAGGGCTGTAAATCGTCACCCAGAGCCCGAAATCTTCACCGAAATCTTCGCCCAGGGCTTTAAATCTTCACGTTAATCTTCACCCAGGGCCGCAAATTTTCACCTAAATCTTCACCCAGAACGCTGAATCTTCACCAAAAGCTTCGCCCATGGCCGCAAAACTTTACCCAGGCGTTATATCTTCACCTGAATCTTCAACCTGCGCCCTAAATTTTGATTTGCATTTTCGCCCAGGACCATAAATCTTCACCCATGCCTTAAATCTGAATGTAAATATCCACGCAGGCCCTTAAATCTTCCCCGTGGGCATTCAATCTTAGTTTAAGTCTTCACCCAGGCCTGCAAATCTGCAACCAGGGCTTCAAATCTTCACTCAGAGCCCGAAATCTTAATTTAAATTTTCACCGAGGGCCCTAAATCTTCACCTAAATCTTCACGCAGGGCCGCACATCTTTCTTTGAATCTTCACCCAAGACCCTGATTCTGCACCTAAATCTTCACCCGGGGCCGTACATCTCCACCCAGGCTTTAAATCTTCACCTAGATCTTCATCCCAGGGGTGACCCCAAACGTTGTTTAGATGTTTTTTCCTAACGTCGTCGTTTCAACATTGTTCTTTGTTGGGGACTCGTTTCGGAATACGTTTTCACATTCTCTGAACGCCAGCCGTCGCGCGGGCAGGCGCCGTTTGTTTTGTTTGTGGTTTTGTTGTGGGCATGCTTTCATGTGTATATATATATAGATATGATGAGGATCTGGAGCTTGAAAGATACCTGCCTCTTGTGGCCGCGGTCGGTCCAGGTCCTTTTAGATCCTGCCATTTTGAGATGCCCCAGAGCAGCGCACGGCTATATCATCATGTGTGTGTGTGTTTTAGATGGTTTGTGTTTAACTGCACCATCTCCTCACACAACCTCTATGTATACTTCCATTTATCTATAATTATGAGTATATATATATATATAGGTATACATATAAAAGCAACTATAATATATAATTTACAGTAATAGTAATAATAATAAGAATAATCGCCACTGCAAAGTATTATCTGAATATGTGTTAGTACCTCGATGCTTGTGTGTTCATATGTTATAAAACCAGCTTGTGGTATAGACTCATCAGTCTAGTAAAATCATATACACTTTATAGTAGATACTATAGTATTTACAGTATAACATATATTATCACATCATGATGTATAAGGTACAGTTTTGCCACCATAAATATAGGACATGATATATCACCCCCTCCCGTCCCGGATTTCCCCGGGGGGAATTTGGGACGGATGTTATACAAGTTGTCATGTTTACGCCGTTTGTTTCGCATTTTCGAATGCCAATGATTTACGGTGTGCGTATGTTTGGGGATTTCGTTTTCGGCCCAGAACGCTTAATTTTGTGAAGCAGTATCTCGGCTCTCGTGTGTTATGTGACCCCCCTCTTGAGGCTCCTTACTGTTCCCAAATCATGGTTTGTAGCTGTTTTGGCTTGGACGCCTCCCTCATTAGCATCCCGCTCCGCTTGTCTGGCGAGGGGAGGCGGAGGTTTCTGAAAAGGGCGACCTGCGGGCCGCCCGCGAGCGGCGTGGCGGCGCCATGCTGGGCGCGGGGGCGCCCGCCGCAGCAGCTGGCGCGGCCGCTGGCGGGCCTGGGGGTCTGCTGGGTGTTGGCGCTGGAGGCGTGGGCTTCGCTGGTGGCCCCCCGCCCGCGGTGCCGCCGGGGGCGGTGCCTGCCCCGCCGCCCGCGTTGGGTGCGGTGCCGCCTCCCGCAGCGGGCGCAGCGCCCAAGCCGGCCAACAGAGGCAAGGGCGGCATTGGCGGCATGGGCGGAGCGCCCAAGGCGGTTCGGAAGGCGGCAGCGGCGGCGGCGCCTGTCCCGCCAGCAGCGGCGGGTGCGTTGGCCGCCCCACCCGCGCTGCCTCCTCCACCGGCGGGGCCTCCTCTGCCATGGGCCGCGGGAGGCGTGCCGCAACCGCCACCCGTGAGAAACGCACCCATCCCTGGCGGCCCCCCACCGCCAGCCGTGGGCCCCATGATGGGGGGCGCTTGCGGCGGGCTGCTGGGCTTCGGAGGCGTGGTTGGAGCAGGTGCGGCGCCGCCGCCCGGAAGCCAGGGGCAGTGGATTCATGGGCCAGCTGCACCTCCGATGCTGGGAGGGCTCGGGCTCTACCCCGGCTGCGAGGTCGAGGGCGTGTTCCTCGACAGGTGCGGCTCGCCCGTCGGCGCGGCGAGGTTCGCCGTGAGGGGCAGCTGGCCGCCCGACGTCGTGGGCATGTTCTTGAAGTGCCAACTCCTCGCGACGAGCGTGCCGCTGCACGAGCCCATGCTCCAGGGGCTGTTCGGCATGGGCCAGGCGGTGCTCCACTTGCGTGGCGGTCGACCCGCGGTGATCTGCAGCCAGCAGGAGATGTGGCCAGGGCGGCAGGTCGTGCACGTGGACACCTTCCGCGTGGCCCCCCCTCCGGCCTTCGGCGCAGGGTTGCCTGGAGCCGTCCCGGGGGCCGCTGCGCCCAAGGCTGCGGCTGGCGTGGTGGCGCTGGCGGCCCTCCCTGGAGGGGCGAGCGTTGCGGCAGGAGGCGCAGCGGGCCCAGGTGACGGCGACGGCGCAGGCAGTTCGGGCTACCTCGACCCCAAGAAGTTGAAGGAGAAACTGGAGAAGCTGCGTCATCGTCTGGCCCAGAAGCGTGATATCGGGTCGCTCTTGGCGTCGAGGGCCGGCCGAGCAGCATCTCGACGGCCACGGCAGCGGCAAGCCCAATAATAAGAAGAAGAAGCGCCGAATGAACAGAGAGAGTGATGATTCCAGCGGCGCGACGGGGAGCTTTCTTGACGCCCTACCCTCTGGCTCAGGTCGCCGCATTCAGTCTGTGAGTTAGTCGGCGCCAGGTGCATTATTAGCATCGGGTCTCGAGCAGATCAAGCAGCTGCTGGCGCAGAGGGGTGGTGCGGACACGGAGAAGAACCTGAACAGCATGTCGGCGATGGTGGTGCAGTACATCGCGTCGGCGTGGCACGGGCGGCACCCGCCTCATACGATGGGGGTGCGGAACACCAAGGAGATGCGGATGATCGGAGAGTGCCTGGACGCGTTGCTGGCAGGTCGCCTGCCCGAGCTGGGCGACATGCTGATGCAGAAGCTCAAGGCCATTGAGCAGGCGCGCAAGGGCGGCCATTGAGCGGTCGCGCAGCTCCTGGAGGTCGGCGCCGACGCGAACGCCAGCCTCGCGCGGGCCAGCGAGGTTCGCGACGCCGTCAGCGCATTCGAGGACGAGGCGAGGCTGGCGCAGCACCTGGCGGCCGCTGGCAAGAAGACTGGCAAGCCAACCTAGGGGTTAGGCCGAGGGGGGGGGGGGCTCAGGAGTGACGCAGTCCACCCCTCAGAGGCCAAGCGACGGGGCGCCGTCTCCCAGGGCGCCACCCACCGCCATGGCGAAGGGGTTGCGGAGTTCGCAGGCAGCCAAGAGGGGGCGCCGCCGCGCAGGCACGGCGGCGAAGTGGCCGGCGGCCAGAAGGCAGGAGCACGAGGCTGGCGCGTGGTCTGTGGCGGCGCAGGTCGGGAAGCTGCCGGAGGGGCAGCCGCCGCGCGCTGGCGGGGGGAGCGGCTCGGAGGCTGGCCGCAGCCCCCCCCTCCCCCGGGCCCCCGCGACTCGAGGCGGGTCGCTGACGGGGGCGAGGGGCCCAGGCGCGCCTCAGTTGGTCCCGTCGCGGAGCCCGACGCCACCGCGGCAGCCCAGCCTTGTGCGCCAGGCGCAGCTCTTGCCCGACGAGAAAGGGAGACGGGCCCTCAGTGCGCAGGCCCGCGTTGGCCAGCCCAGGTGAAGGAGCAGGTCGAGCGGCCCCGGGCGCGCGGAACTTCCTCGACAAGGCGAAGCAGTGCAACGGCAAGAACAAGGGCAAGGCCAAGGGCAGGGGCAGGTCGGAGAAGGGGCCCAAGGGACCCAAGGGCGGCAGAAAGGGCTTCAAGGGAAAGATGGCGCGGGCGACGAGCTCGACGCCACCGGCGAGAGGGAGGCGGCAGGCTCTCCTGGAGAGGCGAGCGAAGACACGGATGATAGCTGGGAGTCTGCCGTGACGGAGGCAGGCGAGGAGGAGTGGTTGGGCGCCTGCAGTCTCACAGGGGCCGAATGCGTCAGCGCGCCTAACGGCGGCGCTGGCGCACGTGCCCCCCCCCGCGCCAGCGTGCTGAGCGGCGGCGCTGGCGCGGGCGGCAAGACGGCGCCCCCCGCTCGGCCCCGATGCGTCAGCGCGCCCGACGGCGCGCGGCGGCCCGCATGCGCCGACGCGCCTGACGGCGGAGTTGGCGCGCGCGGCGGGTGGGGGGGGGCCGTCGCGGGATGCAGGACGAGGTGCAGTTCGATACCCTAGGGGATCGCGAGATGACAGACAGCAGCTTACACGCTCTGGGAGGCCAGCTCCGTGATATCTTATACCCGCTTCAGCCAGCTCTACGTCGTGATGAGGACGCGCGCGTGGATCAGGTGGAGCTCGAGAGCGTTGCGGACGAGCTGGAAGCTGTTGATGTTCTCACTCCACCGTCCAGGCGGGGGAGACGTAACCTTCTTCCTCTGCCGCTTGGTGGAGTACGCGAGGTACTCGCTGCGCGCCGTGGAGGTGCTGGCGAGAAGGAGCTGGTGCAGGCTATGCCAGAGCTGAACGACTGGCTCTCCCTGGTCATCGCGGGTCTTAACTTCCACTACACGCTGCGCGGGTTTTCCCCCCGCCTAGCGCCAAGCACGGGGGCGCCCGCGGCGCCGCAAACATCTCCCACGCGACTTCTTGCTGAGGAGTCACAGGTGCTCCTGGATCAGCGCGGCGGCGAACTGCCCAAGATCGATTGGGAGGCCGAGATGAAGGCCTCCGCCGTCAGCTACACAGGGGAGAAGGTTCACCCGTCCGAGCCCTCGAATCTGGAGAGGCTCGTCGAGGCGCCCCCTCAGGCGTCGGCGGCGGCGTCGTCGGTTGACGTGCCCAGCGTCTGCGAGGGCTGGGTGCGCCGAGCGCTGCAGGGGGGGCCGCCGATATGTTTCGGCCGCTCCTTTCTCCGATTGGCCCGTACCTGTGGAGGGGCTCCCATTGTCGGATCGATGGCCGCAGTTGCGTGAAGGTGCACGGGAGCCTCGGAGGCCTTGCGGTTCGGAATTCGTTATGATTTCGTCGGCATGTGGACGAAATCTGGTCGGAATCACATTTTCGGTAGGGCGGCGCAGGTCCACCGAGGTTCCCATGGAGGCTCCAGGGGGGAAAGCACACGGGACGCGAATGGAGGCGCACTTTTCCAGTGCCTTTTGGACGCGGGGCGGCAGTAAGGGTTTTTTTTAGGGTTCACTTTCCTGCAGTTCTCGCCCACCCAGGGGATCCGCCCTTCGTCCCGAGTTGCTTATTCATCGCACCCGCGCTCGGCAAGGGCCCGAGAGGCCGAAAGCAGCCAAAAGCAGAAGAAAAAGCAAACATCCTTTTCGTCATTGTCGACACGACGCGAAGACGTCTGGGGCCCTTGAGATCCGACGTAGCGGAAAAAATGCAGCATAGCGAAACATCTCGAGGAGAGCCCCAGACCCAATCTGTGATGGTCCCAGGGCACGACATTGGGCGGAGACGCCCGGTGCGAGAGGAGTTGCCACGCCTGGCTCTGGGCGCTTGTCTCTTCGCACCACCGCAGACATCCTCCGCACAGAGGGGGGGGGGCCCTGGGGATCGGGGCCCCAGGCCTTCGCGCGAGGCGGCGGGGCCTCTCCGGAGCCCTCGCGCCTGCCGATGCCCCGCGTGGTGGCTGCGCCTCGGGCAGGCCCCCAGCCCCGCGCGGCCTCCCCCCCGCGCCCCGTGATCCTCCCCGCCGGCGAGGCCCGCCGAGGGCAAGGGCGCCGGCCGAGAGGAGGCGCGGGAGTCTGGCCTGGAGCGGCGGGGGGCCTCGGCTTTCTGCCACCGCTGCGTCCTCCTCCCCGCCCCTGTCCTCCTCCTCCTCCCGTTCCTCCTCTTCCTCCTCCGCCTCCTCCTCCTCCTCCTCCTCCTCCTCCTCCTCCTCCTCCTCCTCCTCCGCCCCGATTTCTGTCCTCCTCCTCCTCCTCCTCCTCCTCCTCCTCCTCCTGCTCCTCCTGTTCTGTTCGAACTCCCGATGGGGATGGATGCCGCGGTGGACGCAGGGAAGAACGCGCAGGAGAGAGAGATCAACGCGCCTCGGGCCTCCCAGCCCGACCCTGCTCGAACCCTCCCCAGCGGTGCCTGGGCAGAGTGCGGGTCTAGCGGGACGCAGAATTGGAATTGGCACATTTGGAGGGGAATCGTGTGAAAATCTCGTGATTGTCGAGGGGGGAGGAGGGGAGGTCTGACGAAACGCGCTCCGCCAGCAGTGGGCGCATCCTAGCAGGGTACTGTTTGGTCGTGACAGTCCGAACCTCTCCCTTCGAATCTAGCCCCTCGATGGCCCGATGACAAAATGAGTGAGCGCACCTGCCACAACCTGGAAGCCTACCTACGACCTCCCCCACGCCTGGGACACCAATTGTAAGCAATGTTCTGGGCTTGACGCTAGGGGCACCGAGCTCACACTGATCGAACGAAACAGTGGCGGCACCAAGAAGTACCGCAACAGACTGGACTTCGGGATAAGCCAGCTGCTAGGGAGATGAGCCACCGGGGACCTCTCGGGGTGCTCCATAACACACTTGGCCTTGACGGCAGCACAAGCAATCGCGGACTGCACAGAGGCTCTGAGAAGAGGATTCGGCTGATCCAGCGGGTACCATTCCGAATCCACACGTGCAGGGACCCCCCAGGGATCTGCAACGGAACAACGGACAATCCTAGTGTGTTTGGACTTGTTCTGGGGCGGCTGTTTTCTTGCTCGGCTAGACGTCTCACAGGGTGGTCATTCGATGACGGCCCAGACTCTCCCCGACAGAACAAATCTGACAAGTGCTTGTACAGAGGCCCTGACTGAAGGATCCCCAACCTAGGAGTTCTGGTCACGTCAATGTTCAAGACAACTATGGCCAAACTTCCGCTCGTGGCTATACCGTCGATATGGTCCTGAGCATCCTCTTGGCGTCGTTGGCCAGAGAACAAATGCAGCACACGCAAAAAACATATCGTTGGAACGGGCCTTGGAATCGATACTGCTGTGGGAATTTAAGCGGCTCTACACTCGGCCGCTGCACGGGCGATTGGAGACAGTTTGGCCCTCTTGTCACTCCACACGCCTTTCAAGGTAGGCCCGCATATGCGACAAGTGTTTCTCGGCCTGCTCTGCGTACATTGACGCCTAGAAGCAAGCTCGGAAGCAATCTCAAAATGTTCGTGTCACTGCACCTCAATATGCACGCTCCTGAGAGGCTGCAGCACTGTCCTCAAGGCTGGAAGGCAAACTTGCGAACCGTGCTTAATGTGTGTGGTAATGTTTGGATTGGGGACAAGCATCTTGTTGCATGCTTGACTGACATGTCCTAGGGCAACTGTTGCAGTCAAGCCAACCTCTGGGTGGTGCTTTGCTTTATGCGTGGCCCGGGCGTGGCGAGTAATACGTGTGGCATCGCATTCTGGGCGAACGTACACTTCATCGGGGTCATCCAGTCCGCAAGGGGGGGGAGGGGCAACTCTGGTGGCCAAGCGCTGATCCAGGAAATCTCTCTTCCAGAGAAGGCACCTGTGCCGATCCAACTCATTGCGTGTCGCACCAGCTTCCATCAGGAGGAAAAGAAACACACAGACACAATTAATCCTCGATTCCCCAGAAAATATGGGAAAATATGGGAAGTGGGGGGGAAGACAGGAACCTAGAAAATATGGGAAAATATGGGGAATCTTTTTATTTGTGTGTATTTATTTGTGTGTCCTGGGGCCCCTTCATTCCACTGATGCCAGAAAGTGAGCCCGATCTATCAACGGAGGTCGCCAGGGAGAGAGAGCTGCGGCGGGAGAGCAGCACGCTGGGGCAACCAACGACGATCCTGCACCGGCAATTCCGCCCACGTGCCCGGGGTCTTGGCGAGAACGTCCAACATAACAAAGAGGGGCCTCGAAGCACCCTTGATGAGCCTACGGTAGGTCTGCGTCGTGTCGACCAGCGTCGACCCCAGCGCGGACGTTCAAGGTTGAACGCCGCCGGCGACCCAGAATCGATCGATGTTGAACGATCGGACGTTGCGGCAGCGGCCGATCGTTCAAGGTTGAACGATCCCTGCGGTGTCAAAAACCAACGCCGGGGTCGACACGACACGAACCTGCCGTAGCCAGGAGGCGGAGTCAGCGAAGCCTTAAGACAAACGTAAGTGTGGGCTTTGTTGGTAATCCACAGGGTCTCAGCGCACGCCCTTCGGCTCCGGCGGCCTGGGCAGCTTTGGCCTCAAAGCCGCTCTGAAAGCCTCGGTGTAAGGTCCTTGAGCACGCGTAGAAGCTTTGACAGGCAAGAGCCACAACGCAGCCTGGTGCAGCATCTCGAGCTACACGAGGACACACCATATTTGGTCTTAGCTTGCGTAGACAGGGAATGCCGAAAGCAAAGCGCCTCAGGGGCTCCAGAGCCACCGCTTGCCCCTAAGTTGTGTATCAGCCCACAAGACCCCTGGACCCAAGGTACTTGTACGCATCCGTCTTGTGGAGCTCGCTGCCGTAGGTCCCCACCGCGAACGTGCTAGACGAGTCATACTTGATCCGAGCCCCACTGGAGGCCTCCCAAGAGAAGCTGACCACTCATTCGGTCTTCCTTTACCCGTAGTTGGGGTTACACCCCGCCCCAACAAGTTCCTCGCGGCTTGCTTTCAGTCGATTGGGATCCTGGGCGAGGCAATTGTTAAGATGTCATTCACATACGCGGGCCCCTGTAAGTCGGAGCCTCGGACGGCTCTGTACTCGGGGCTAGACCATGAACGAGATCTCTCGTCCAAAATCTTTTGAATTGGCACGAGTAAGTCAGCTTGGCACAGTCGCTGGTGCACCATAGCATGAGCAGGCGCAAAGCCTGCGATGAACAAATCTCCGAGGTGCATCCCTGCTCGTGATCCCATGTCAGAAACATCTATGCAAACCGCCAAACGCACTCCGAACCACGTAGCCCCCGCCGCCTCGCACACCATCTGGGCGAGCTGAGGGGAGACCGGCACAGGAAGGCACAAGCATGATTGGAATGTGCATCCCGTCCGCGACCTCGTCGTCGTCGCACGAGTGTTTGAGCACACGGTAAAACCGTTTCTTCGAGCTAGAACCAAGTTAATCATTCCGACGGTAGGACCTCGCATGAGAGTTTTCTCGGGTATTCTGGAAGTAATCGTCATCGTCTCCCGCGTGATTGCGGAGGCTCTGTTGCCGGCTCTTCGGGGGCCCTGTTGTTGGCGCAGGGTACCGATACCCCGCTCGGATTACCAACATGATTTTTGGACCCCACGGGGAGCAGTTCCAGCTCGAGGCTTCTTTGTGATTGACAGAGAAGCGCGGCTCTCGCTCGAGACTTTTTTGTCATTCGCGCTTCAGAAGTCCATGGGTGACGACAGTTACAGGTTTCTCAATCTCCGCCCGGATTTCCAACATGAAGTGGGGACCCCCCTGTAGGGAGGGGCTCCCGCTCGAGATTTCTTCGCGAGTCGCGGCGGCCGCTCAAGATTTCTGGTGTGTTCACGCCCCAGGAGCCCAACAAGTGCTGATTGTCACGGAGTTCTGATATCCCGCAAGGGCTACCAACATGAGGTGGGGCGGCATGGTGAGGGGCTCCCGCTCGAGACTTCCTCGCAATTCTAGACGCTTCGCGTATCCCCACCAGCCCATACAGAAACGATGTCCAGGCGAGTTGAGGTGATCCGGGGAGTGCGGGAGCAAAGAGGTGGACGGCCGAACCGTGCGGAGGAGGGGGGAGGAGAAGATTGAGGCTGGACGGATGGACAGAGAGTGGGGAGAAGAACGATTAACATGATGAGGATGAGGATGAGGATGAGGATGAGGATGAGGATGAGGATGAATATGAATATGAGGATGAGGAGGAGGAGGAGGATGAAGAGGATGAGGATGAGGATGAGGATGAGGATGAGGATGAGGATGAGGATGAGGATGATGATGATGATGATGATGATGATGATGATGATGATGATGATGATGATGAGGAGGAGGAGGAGGAGAGGAGGAGGAGGAGGAGGAGGAGGAGGAGGAGGAGAAGAAATATAAATAAGGAGTAGAAGGAAGGAGGAGCAGGAGGAGGAGGGCGAGCAAAAGGGCCAGGGGTCTCTTGGATGCCTCTCGGAGCCGCTTGGGATATCGCTTGGGCGTTTCTCGGTGGCCGCTTGGGGCGGCTCTTGGGCGTCTTGGTGCCTCGGGGGGGCCTCTTGGAGCGTCTGGGGGGGGGCATCTTGGGTGGCTCGGGGGTCCTCTTGAAGCCTTTTCGGGGCCTCTTGGGGGTCTCTTGGGAGCCTCTTGGGGGCCTCTTGGGGCCGCCTGGGCGCCTCGTGGGGCCCCCTTGGGGCTTTCTTGGCAGCCTCAGGGGCGCTCTTCGGGCAGGATTGGAGTCCATCGATCAAACAAGAGGGAAGCTTCAATCAGCGCTCCCCCCCCCCCGAGGCCAAAATGGGGCCAGAACCTGGCTTCCTCGCCGAGGCCATTTTGGACGCTCCAATGGATCGCGGCACCGCCCGTCCAGGTCCAGGGGAGGGTGGGGGAGGGGTAAACCTTTCCCCGAAGGAGAGGAAATTCCTTAAACCACCTACGCCCAGAGGGCTGGTGGGATTCGCTCACACACGATGCTCTCGATCGAGACGTCATTGTTAGTCAAGCCTCAGGGGCCCACCGGTGACTACAGGTATAGGGTGCCGATGCCCCGCTCGGATTACCAGCATATAGGGAGGGCTCCCGCTCGAGACTTCCTAGCGATTCGCTCGCACACAATGCTCCCGCTCAAGATTTGCTAGATATGCAGAC